ACTGTATAATAGCCCGAGTGGTTATTGGAGACGTGAAAGCGCCGTCAACCATTTACACGAAAAAACCAAAATCAATAAAAAGGTAATCAGAGATCGGCTTAAAAAACAAGCAATTTCGCAAATTTATCTACCGGGTCCTGTGTATGTACCCAGGCCTACGAGTACATTGCGAGAGTTTGAAACACCAAACGACTTTCACCAAATAGATGTGCTATACCTACCCTGGGATAAAGTAAAATGCAAGAATTATGAATACTCTTTGACGGTTGTCGACGTTGCGAGTCCATACCACGAAGCAGAACCTTTGGTTTCTAAAACGGCGGATTCCACCAGAGATGCTATCATCAAGATTTACGCGAGATCTCCTTTGAGTTACCCCAAAACGTTGAGAGTAGACACTGGTACTGAATTTAAAGGCGCATTTAAAAAATGGATGGCCTCAAAAAACGTCGCGATTATCGTAGGTGAACCAGGAAACCACCGATCGCAGGGTATCGTAGAAAGATTTAATCGAACGCTAGCCGAGAGACTGTTTGGACATCAGTACGCTCAAGAAATGTTAAATCCCGAGAGTAGAAACACGCAATGGGTCGAGCGATTACCAGGCGTGATCAAGGCTATAAGCGATGAAATGACAAGATGAATAGCTAAAGCGCCATCAGAGGCGGTTAAACTAGAACAGGTCCGACAATCGCCGGCTAACCCCTTTAAAACAAAAGAGCAGAATTAACCGCAAGGCGCTATGGTTAGATATTTATATTACCCGAGTGAGCAAGAGGGGGGTACTTCGAAAAGAGCCACGGATCCCATTTGGAGCATAGACATCTTCAACGTGGAAAAAAGAACAAGTCAATTTAAAATGATAAACGGTAAAAAAGTCACAACTCCTACTCTTTATTACCTTTAAAACGGCTCAAAAAGGAGTTTTGTGAGACAAGAGCTTCAAGTCGTCCCCGAGGACACGCAATTACCGCTGTAGTGACCAAAAGCCAGCGTGTTTATACCGTCCGGTAAAATGTACCTCTTTGTGTCCAACGGACTCAACGATAGTTTGTTTTGAGATACGGTGTAAAGGATGTGATTTTCCGATCTAATGTGAGTCATGGTTTCGTAATGAGATTTCTTGTTTAAGATGCAGTTGTAATAGTGTTGGTGTTTTAATTTTTTAGAGGTGACCGATTTTGTGACACCCTTGGCTTTTTTCAGGTTGATGTCAGCGGTTAAAATGGAGTACATTTTAGGTCTTATACAAACGACTTCTTTGATTATTTTACCTCCAAACTCGTCTTTAAATTTATCGATCACTTTCTTATTGGTTGGGTCGTACAAAGGATGATCCGTCAGATAATTCGAAAGGTCGTATTGTTGCCCATTTTGCTGCATCATATCTTTGTATACGTCGTCCGTGTGCACTACGAGTACCAAACTGTCTGTATCTGTGTACATCAACCTGATTTTCTCTTTGTACTTGTCTATCAAATGGTTGTAATAAGAATCGTACATCAGCGTCTTAGATAGATCTAAGATACTCACTCCGCAATAGATCGGTTTGTTTAACACGGTTTTAGTCTTGTACTTTTCGACAAATGACAATTTGCATTCTGAAAATGACGTCGTTTTGTAGCTCGCTTTCTGTATAATTTTTTTGTATTTATCTCGATCGTCATCGTTACTGTCTCTGAGAAGGTAACCGTCAATCCGGTTTCTGACGCTTTCCATCGTCTTTAATACCAAACACGCTGTTATTCATGAGCTTAAAAAAGTCTTACTCAAAATCAGAAGTCGCCTTTGTTCGGAGTTGCGTGTTTTTGTTGATGTAAGATGCCATCCAAGGGGCTTGTTTAAATTGCAGCACTCGATGGACCTTTTTAAGTTTCAAGCCGAGTTTGAGATACAACTGCAACGTGACGTATTGCAAAACATATTTTTGTTTAGGATTAAGGGTAGACGTTAATTTTTGCACGTTGCTACTAGGTTCGGTATCCAATAACTCGTTTTGATAATCAGACATCCATTCTTTTGGTATGACGATATTTTCTGGCGCTAGGGGATAATCGTTGTGCAGGTCGTGGAGATTGTCCGGGTAATCGAGGTCTACTTCAAAGCAGTAACCGGTGTTTGACGTTTTCCTGAGAGATAATATCTTGGACTCGGTAAACGTTTTTGTAGACGCCCATTTAAAGTCTTTGTACGGCAGGTATTGACTCATGGCCCAGCCGTACAGATTGTTTGCATCGAGGTAGGTGATGTAACTCGACGGCTCGTTTGGATTATGGTCGGGTAGGTATTTGTTGTTGGCTTTGTGGTATCTCATACCACCCACGCTCGAGATACCACCTCTTTTTGCCTTTTCAAAAAATAAATGTTTGTCTATGTCTTGCAATAATTCGAGTTTAACTTGCGAGTGTCTTAACAAGGCATCCCACGACAATCCTGGTGCTGTGTAGTAATTAGCCGGATCTAACGCGTAGTTTGTAATACACGTTTGCCTAAAGTTTTCAAATACGCAAGCCAGTAATAACGTATCAGTAGTGACGTACAAATCGTGATATTCCCCCCATGTTTTTAATTTTAAACTCGTTCCACGTCAGTTTAGCTCTGTCGTAGTCCTCTCGCCATATATTTTCGTCTTTTAGGCTGCTGTAAAATTGTTTGATGGGGGGTAGGCTGGTCTCTTGAAATCTGTCAAACAAGTCCATGTATTCATATGGAAAAACTCCTTTTTGTAACAACGAGTCGATGTTTTGACGATTAAAATGTTCTCTGAGTAGTTTAAACGACTCTCTTGGACAAGCTTTAGATAATCTATCCAACGAAGACGCCATAAAATTAAACGAGTCTATAAATCGCATATTTCCGATCGAAAACGAAATATACTTTTCCGAATTTCTAGTGATAACTTGTATTTCCTTTTCGTCATCGTACTCTGAAATACTCTGCATGATCAAGTGAGCGTCGTAATTTTGCAGATTGTGAAAGACGACCGGTATGGGGGTAAAACCTGGTTTAACTTGTAATTTTAGATTGCAGAAGGCGTGCGCGGCACCTCTATATCTACCCGTGACGTGGCAGTGATCTCTCACCTTTCTAAATTTGTTGATTTTCTTTTTGCATTCGAGACATTTAGACTCGATAAATCCATTTTTGTTTTCGTACTGATGTTCTTTTATTTGTTTTGCTGTTTTTGGTTTTTTGGTTTTCTGGCACTGACAGTTGCTCGAGTAATTGGGATAAATTGGTTTTTCGCAAATCCAACATGTGTTTGTTTTTTCATGATGTTTTTTATCTCGCTCGTTAAATTTCATGGGTTGGGGTTTTTTAAATATGAAATTTATGTCGCTTTGTATTTTTAACATTTTATTTACAAACTTTGATGCAGCATCTTTACCTCTATAAGTCTCTTGATACGCATTGGTGCCGTCACATCTAACTACTACCAACGAGTAACTGCTAGCTTTGTGAATGTTTGTCTTTTGCGTGTTGTTCTTTTTATCGTCCAAGTTTTTTTCTAATATCGATTCAAAGTTGGCATAAACTACAAACGGTGCTTTTTGTTTAAACCTGTATTTTTTAAATTCTAATATTGGCACATCGTTTTCGTCGACTATCCACTCGTTATTTACATATTTTCGCTTAAGCGGTAGGAAATACACTCTTTAACGGATGTGTATCTATGCCATTACAATCGGTCATGTGTCTATCTAATTTTACTTGCATTCTATAATGACACAGGCATCTTCGACAAAAATATTTCTTACTTTTATGTTTTGTAACGTAGTAAATCAATCTCGAAAAATTATTTATCCAGCAATAGTGATGCTTGTCGCCCTCAGAAAACAAAAACAGATCGATAGGTCGTGACTCTGCTTTGTAGTTTTTAGACACGTATAACGGATATATTTCCCCCTCATAACCGTATACGTTTATCGTTAAATTATTTTGTCTTTCTATCTTTGGTATCTGGTCGATCGGTGTTGGAAAGTCTACGCCTTTAAATTTGAGTCCGTCGTCTTTGGTGTATACAACAGGTTCTTCTTTATGAATTTTATATTTAGGATCGTTTTTTTATTTTATTTTTTTACTTTATCCGTATACAACCCAAGAGCAGCTCTCAAACACCATCTCAAACACTCGTCGTCTTTGTTTTTAATGTTAATCATCGCCGTTTTCTGTTTGATACATTTTGGTAGGTCAATATAAGAACTACCCCTCACGGGGTTAAACCTGTTGATGTTGATATACAACGCCATTATCTTTTTTAAAACCCAACCCGATCCTTGATTCGTATACCTTTCATCCTTTCTAAATATCTGGTCGATGTCGTCTTTTAAAACCTGTTTTATTTGACTTTGATTTAAAACGACTCTCTGATCGTTTCAATCGTACCATCCGGTTTGGTTTTTTCGTATTTTATTTTGATTGTGAGCTCTACTTTTAAACCTCTTAGCTCTCTCAATTCTGACTTGATTTTACTTACAATTTGATCTTTGTGCGTATCAAAAAACTTGACTAAATCGTCGTTAAAAAGTCTAGGAATCAGTTCCCAGTTTCTAAAGTTGTTTCTAAATCTCCTCGTGGCTCTAAACTCAGCCTCTTGAAAATCCTCGGGTTGCCTAGAGTTTTGAATCGCCGAGAGTAAATCTTTTTTCAAAAATCGACCTTTATAACCCGACGGGTTATTTTCCAGATCGTAATCATCTACAATCTGTTTGAGCTCATGAAGCGTCTTTTTCCTCAAGTTTTTAAATTGAGCTTCATAGTTTTTTATCCCGTTGATGTAGACTTTACGCGTAAGAGCAACATTTTGATTTTCTGGTATATTATATCGCTGGACGTAATCGCGCAGCGTCGCTTTATTCCATCTAGAGAATCCCTTAACGATTGGCCTAATCGTATCCATCATTTATATATATCAATATAATTTTTTTTTTAAATTTTTTTAAGAGGTCAGACTTTTAGATTTATATTAAAGCAATCAGACTCACCGGCTGGTGAGAGAGAGATATTGACATTTTGGCGCTCCATACCTTTTTGCTCATTTTATACTATCCATACCATCGGCGCTCCATACCTGACACGGTCATAGCCTTCACCTGCCACATCACACAAAAGACTTGCGACCCCGTTCTAGTTCATGACTGTGTTCTGTTAAAAAAATATGCAAGGTAACCGACCTTGACTGCCTATTGTACTCGGGTTGTATAGCTTATAGAAAAGTTATACATGTCACTACTAAATTTAGCTTTGGAAATTTCCAGAAATTCTTTCGCAATTCAGTATTTCCGTGTCATTTCAACATGATATGTCGATAGGTACGGATGTCAACGCTCAACCTGCAGTCACCAGCCAAAAGGTAAATTGTTTTTAACATTAAAGTCTGGCAATAATGTAGGTTTTCATATTGATTTTGTTTTCTATAAAAACCTATACTACACAATCACTAAAAGTCTAGCCACCCATTAGTGTATGTGATGTTTCTGATCAAACCATTGAGTGTAAATGCTTATTTTTCCTCTAATGTTTCAGATGATGACTACCCATCGCAACCTGTGAAAAAGAGGTTAGGCGGCTTTATAACTTTGCGTCGGGTTTATCGCACGAGCAAGATTTTTTCAAAGTACCGCTAATACCATTTTTTAGTGTAAAAACCTCGAGATATTTCTTAAAAAGTAACTTAAAAGTGTACCATTTTGATGTATCTCTATGATATAAAAATTGGCCAAAACGCTTACTCACTTAATATAATTATGATGTCATAAGGGTATCGATAGTTCGCCTCTTAATACAACGATGATGTCATAGGGGTACTAAAGTAACATGTTTTTAATAAATTTCAAACTTTGATTTGTAAACCTAAGAAAACGTTATTTGTTTATTTATTTATAAGTGACTGTAGACTCGCGCACCAGTCGCTGTGAGTCTGTGTTGAGATCTCCAAGAGGGTGACTGTAAATGGTAGCAGACCAGTAAATAAACTTCCATAGACCCCAATGGTAAATGCTCCCACTTCAAAAATTCGGGAGTACTCACTACTCTCCAAGGTGTTCGAGACACACATCAAATTAAAGCTTATTTCATCATCTTTCATTTTCTTTTCAATTTTCGGGGGGTCAACTGATGACTTTTAGGAGAAATTTCCATCTGAAGATGATCACCCCTGAAAATAGTCCTGAAGCCCATCGCCATTTTGAAAAACGATGCCTACACTCCATTGCAAAGTAGAGCGCTTTTAGGGTCCAAATTACATCAAAATTACACAGAACTGCAAGCTCCCAGTCCTGTGCACGGCTTCCACCCATATTTTTTACAAACCCTCAAGTTCATGGCCCACAGCATGCTCAAATACCGAAGATTTTGAGGGCATGCAAATCGTGATTTGGCCGGCGCAGGCAATTTCGGACCGATTTACTGGTCTGCACCCTATAAAGAAGCGAGGTTTTGAGAAATTTCCCCAAACCACTTATACGGCATGAGGAAGGATGGATGACTCATATTTCATCAAAAAATTGCAAGAAAAAAAATCTCTGACTGCGATTTCTGGCCTGAAAACAAGCCCTCTGTTTGCGGCGGCCTTACTGCAGGGCGCTCCCAATGGGCGTTAATTGAGTTTTTGCTCCTTCCGACCCCAAATTACCCCCCCCCCCCCTTGTTCGCTCGAAATTGCTGTGATCGGACGACAGTCCATCGGCCCTATTCAGATTTTGGGCGCATTTGTTGTGGAACCGCCATTGGAGACCCCTTTTGAAATGCTGCCCCCCCCCAGGTTTCGCCCCCCCGAAAAAAAAACACTCCGCAAACATTTGACAACAAACGATGGAAGGCGCCATTTTGAAACTATAGGTAGCAGACCAGTAAATAAACTTTCATAGACCCCGATAGTAAATGCTCCCACTTCAAAAATTCGGGAAAAATACTCACTACTCTCCAAGGTGTTCGAGACACACATCAAATTAAAGCTTATTTCATCATCTTTCATTTTCTTTTCAATTTTTGGGGGTCAACTGATGACTTTTAGGAGAAATTTCCATCTGAAGATGATCACCTCTGAAAATAGTCCTAAAGCCCATCGCCATTTTTTACACAGAACTGCAAGGGGAATCATTGGGGAGGGGTAAAGTCTGGTACCTGCCCCCCACTCCTATGGCAAAGTCTGGTACCCTCCACTTATACCTACTCGTTACAAAGTAGATTGTGTATCATTAATCATTTGTTGTCTTTTCTTTTGATTGGTAGATATTGATTGTGCAGTCTTTTGGGTTGTTGATGGGTACGTGTCCAGAGCCAGATGCATGTATCTGTTGCATTAAAGGTAGGGTAGATCATTTGTCATTTTGCATTTTATTTTGAACAACAAAAGTACTCAAATTCTAAAGACGGGTCCTGATGAAGCTCTGTGAATACTACATATTCCAAGAAAAGAAAATTCTAGGATCTCAGTTTCAATTCAAAAGTGGCCACGTCATGTTTTGAATTGCGCCCAAAATCAGCATCCAGGACACATTCTCATTCAGCTGATAGCAGCTACGCAGTGTCACGTACTGAGCTAACGAATAAATAGCAACCGCGCGCCCGTGTGCCTCGTGTCAACTCTTGTGTGTGCACCTATTCAGGGATTTGCCAAATTACGAACCAACTACTAACTGAAATTTCCAACATTGCGTCACTTGACGCATCATTTTTTTTTTATTGTTTTCTTCACAATGACAGCATGCCAGAAAGAATAATTTCACTAGTTTGCTATCTTTAAACCAAGTAAGGTTTTCATCAATAATTTTGTCAGTTTACCTTTTGGATAGCTGCAATAAGGTGTTTCACGGTAATATGCGCCATTTGTTTGTGGGGCAAAAAGAACATAGGTTGCTAGATGCGGGCACATTTTGGAATGAACGCATAATGACTTGGAAGCACCAAACTTTTCCATTGACGATATGTACAAAGCAATGCGTGTAAAATTGCCCCGCGGGCAAGATGGCGCATAGTACCGTGAAACACCTGATTGAGCTACATGTACATGTACCAGTACCTTTAAAGCTGACTGTCACTACTGATTGACAGAGCTCTGCAAATGATATCATGCCTGAAAAATGGGAATAAAATGTCTGTCATTACACAACGTCAAATCCCCTTTGACCATCTGATTGGCGGTCATTGATCACATGACTTCATCCCAACCCAAGGCCTGGCCACACCACAAAAACAGAAGTTTCATCCAGTGGTAAATAGAAGTTCCACTGCATGGTCACACTATTGTACTCTATAGACTGGCAATGACTAGTGCACGTCTGTACAATCCGAGGGACTGTGAGTGATCCGAAGGCCGAGGGATATAGGACCCTCTTCTGGTCTCTCACAGGCCCGAGGGGGGCATTGACATGCACTAGTGAGTGACCAAATTATGCCACATGAGTTTTATAACACACCTCTGTCCAAAATATAAAATAAGAGTTTTTAATTTGAACTGTTTTAATGCAACAATTAACTCACTCGGAGTTAAAAACCAACTGGTTCTTTTCAGAACGACACAACTCACAAAGATATCATTCCCATGGTGTTGCAAACCTCCCATTCATTGATCATGTCCGCAATGCTCACCATGTAAACCTACGGTCTCATTTGACTCATAAGCAATTCAACAATAAGCAATTAAACGCAATACATGGAAGTTGAAACAGAGGGTAATGTAACCAGTCAAAACATTTGAATATAGTGCCCTGTCGGGCACTATACATGTAAAGTCATGTCATCCCATGTCATACCTGGGTCGCAGCCTTATATTTGTTCCAGAACTGTGCTATCTCTTTACCAACGATGCATACGCTTTACATGCGTACCGTGGAGATCACAGTACAAGTAAGGAAAGTTGTGCCAGTCTGTTACATGTACATATGACATACATTAAAATGGTGACCGGTGGGGCTGACTTATTATGACGACTTATGTGGCAGCCGCCACTTAGTTTCTGGCGGCCGCCACATATAAGTGGCAGTGACTGTACAAAAAGATATTTTCACACGCACCCAAAAAATATATTCACACTCATTGAGTGGCACTATCTGTCTTCCGTATGTTCGCGTCCCTCAGTTGCAGATGCTTTTCGCCGTGACGCTTTTTGAACCGTCATGACGTGCTTAGGTTGTTTGCGTATCTTCTACTTGCGCGTTGCATTTAGAGTACGCTTTAAAATTCAATCCATCTATTTTGATTGTGTTCTACAAACACGCACATAAAATCAAAATGTCTGCGCCCAGAGCGGCTTCAAAGCATCTCCACACGCAAAAATGAGGAGTTACATGTAGCGCTCTTGTAATTTAATATACATGTAGCTCTATGCACTAGGCTTTACTCTGGAAATTACGCGCGTGCGATGTCTCGAAGCGCGTCTAGCATGTCTAGTTCACGCTGACGCAAGTTTCACACACTAGCCTATAGATCTTAGTGAAACACACGTGACCGCGTTTCAGCCAACCAGGATAAAGAACAAGCAGGAGGTGTTGTAAATGTATATATAGCCATGTTCATGGGTCCAGTCATGGCTGTGTTGTGGTTTATCATGTTTATTGTGTGCTTGTGCCGATCAGCCAATCAGATTATTCCTCAATTATTCGACATGTTCGAAGAATAATCTGATTGGCTGATCGGCACAAGCACACAATACAGCCGTGCATGACAGTTCAGTGGCACTGGACAGTTTTTCTGAAGAAGCCACCGAAATCATCAACATTTTTCATATTTTAGTAATTTCTATTCTGTTTCAAGTCGATCATTGGCTTCGTGAATGACATGACTGAGTGCAAACTATGACGTATGTTTAATGGAATCTGGGTTGGGATACTACAAAATAATAGGAAAAAAATAACCATTTTGTGGAGGCCATCTTTTTAGGGTCTCTTACAATCTCACATAAATTTAAGACGTAGTTTTGTCTCCAGCGTTACATGTGAATTCCTGATGAGCATGTCAGCTGGAGCTACATGTACTTAAGCTAGGCCAGCCCCAAGAAAGAGCTACTGACAGGATTGAGGTCGTGTTTTTACGGGCCCCCCAGCTTTAGCTTAGCCCCATAAATGTGGCCAATTTACTGGACAACCTCCGTCAATATAGGCCACACCTGCATAATATACCCAAACATTAAGGACTTTGTAATAATTGGATTTTTGCATTCAAACTTTGTTTGTAGTTTATTTCATCCTCTTAAGCAATCTGCAATGGAAAAGAAGTATCTGCTTGCTCAGACGTCTACTTTTCGTGTAATTTCCAGGCTCATTTGCACTCGTTTTTATATCTTTAGTCAAGGCACACGTGGCAACCCAGACCTGCCACGTCCACTCCGTGGTCTTTTTTTGTGCTAGCATTGGACCTTACGTGTGCATTGCGCGTGATCTTTTCGATGTTGGAATTTAGATACAAACGTGTGCAAACAAGCTTGGAAATTACATGCAAAGTAGACATCTGAGAAAGCAGATACTTCTTTTGCATTGCTAGTAAGGGTGTGTGTGCTTCTAACACGTAAATAAACTACAAAGTCTACTCTCAGCTCAGTCTTTTATAGTTTCTACTAAATTAGAGTCAAGGGTGTTTTTTATCATTCAAAAATCGGACTTCAGAAAGAATTTCCATACCTGGACATCACTTGACTTTAGAAAAAATTCTAATTGTTTTCTTAATAGGAAATGCTTCAATATTTTCCTAGCCCAGGTGGACTCCCTTATTACCGCAGTCGTAATAATCACATTCATCCCAATCCACACTCCACAGACTGGCCACTTGCACAAAAACAGAAGTTTAATGCAGTGGTAAATTTAGTTCCACTGCACGGTCACACTATTTATTACACTGGTCAGTTTATTGTATAGGCATTGCGAAGTCTTTAAAAAATGTTTGTACTTGATGTGACGTGCAGGAAAAAATGCATGAGGGCATATAGGGCATGCAGTCTTCAAAGTACGCATCATGTAGGCCCTTCAGGCTGGAGCACGGCCTGTGAGACTCTTCAGTGTTTGTCTTCAGTTACACCCTCTGAGTTTGCAAACTGTTAAGGTTTTTGCTGGCTTATTTCAGGTTTCTCATTAGATGGCTTAACCGAACCGACCTGACCCCAAAATCGTAAAGGCAAACCAAAACCAAGCCAAGCCGACCCGACTGAAATGATGGGAAAACCGACCGACCAAATCCGAACCGAAGTCGCTTTGGGTACGGGTTGGTTTCTGTTTTATGTCAGGTTTGCACAACAAAAAGGCATTCCTAAGTTTTCTTTGGTACATGTAGCACAATTAAGCCATGTGCATTGGTCAAGGACAATAAATTATGGTAACAGCAATTGTTCAGGTCCCACCAACACTAACCAATCACAATTGTTCTACTTGGCCTTATACATGTACATGTATAGTCGGACTCCCTATTATCGCGGCATCCCTATTATCGCGGCATGGGAAATTTCTCTTTTTACAGTGTCAAAACTCCTTCAAGTGGCGATTTTTATCCAGTTCACCAGTCATCAAGGATTTTCTACCGAGTTGTATAAAAAGGACGATTAAAAAATGTTGTGTCTTTCGGGACTTTTAACGATTTTAATAAATATTAACGTTTTCCAAAACTTGCAAAATTTTCCCTCACCGTGTCTGCTAAAAGGTACCGTTTGTATTTTAACATAAATCTTTAATTGCGCTCTGTCCATGAAAGTTCCATTGTCTGGTTCCCATTCTTCAGCTGCAAATGTAAAATAACAACTTTTACGAGATCAAAATAAGCACCGCGCGTTAGCGAAAATAAAACGGCACACCGTGTAAAGTGAATGGCACCCTCAATCGCCGATCAGTAGACTTGCCTCAGGGATTTGTGTTCTCCTTTCGGGGGAAGGGCAGGGTCTTAAGAAATCATCCTGCAGACATTTTGTCTTTAATCAACTTGAACGTTACAGGGAAAATATCAGACTTTATTCAGGGGGTGTTTTGGTCAAACATAAACTATGAACAAAAAAGTTGGGATCATTATAAAAACCACTTCCCGCATACCGCGATAATAGGGAGTCCACCTCCGTTCGCACACGCCGCGCATGTCTATTTTCACAGGCATCATATACGGAATAAACCACACCACCCGTCAGATTTCTTTATATTAATTTAAAAAGGAAGAGTTATACTACACATAAGACAGGACAATTCTGGAAGGTTAGTGGGCAATCTCTATTCCGAACGAGAAAAGTGATAAGTACCGCGATAATACGGCGTTCCATCCTACATGTAACTGGTACCCCAAAATTGTTTCTTGTTTTAATTTCTAAAGTACATGTACATTTCTTTTTGGAAAAAATGTCCCTTCAGTAGTCTGGTTGCTTGACTTGAGAAAATGTGTAGAAACAGAGATGCTAGGTACTAGATGTTTCTTTTGACACAGTTAATTGATGCAGCTGCAGTACTAAAGGGATGTTGGACTGGTTCCGTGTGCCAGTCTATTTTCTTGTATTGCATATGTGCGTTTCTACTATCTTAAGGTTTGGGATTATCATACACTGTATTGAGAGTCCCAAATCCATGAAATCTTCAGACTACGATGGGTGGGCCCATGCAGCTGAAGTTTGGACAATCTATACATATGTTGGGATGGTCCCAACTATAAGCTGCACTGTGTTAAACTATCCTTAGATTTGGGATTATCATACACAGTATTTAGAGTCCCAAATTTTCAGACTAGGATGATGGGTACAGATTAAGTTTTACCCGCAATTCCCTTTTTTATTAATCTGTTCTTTTTTCCGGCTTAAAAAAAAAACACTGGAAAAAGAGAAGAAAAACTGTGAAAATGCGTTGATTTTTTACCTCGTTAGCGCTCTCGAGTTGAGTACAGGCCTTGGGCACGCATGGCACAACGTTGTTCATTGAAGTCAGGTAGTCTTAAAAACAAGTCTATTGTTGTTGCCGAGCCTGCATGCGATACAGGCGGTCAACGTACTTGCACTCAGTATACAACGGCGCATGCGTCGAAATCAAGTCTATCATTTCAGTTATCGGTGGTTTCCGAGCGCAGTGATATACATGTATGTGAATAAAAAAAACGCTGGGTACCAACCATGTTTTCGTCACGTCATGTACACTGTACACTGACAGTGTTGTGGAATGGTGCATGTTTCGTCTAGAAAACGTTGGAAATTCGGGTAGGCCAAATAAAAAATAGGAAAATTCAAAGTGATTGAACGAACCAACAGCTTAGACATATTAGAGTTAAAGGCCACAGCAGCAAAAAAAATAAATAAATGGAACTGGGTTTAGCTACAAGAGAAAGATGACAACGGGGACTTTGTGTCAGAGTGTCTTTTTCACAAAAAATAGAATTCCGTTTTTTCCAAGCAGCTGTTCCGGTTTTTTCAATCAGACCCTGTTCCCTGTTTTTTTTCAAGCAGACCCTGTAGCATCTCTGGTTGGGACCATCCCAACATATGTTGGGACCAATAGCCAAATTGGGGTGTAACATATGCGAATTAAGCCTATCAGAAACCAAACATTTTTTAAAGCTTATCACAATCAAGAGAATTTTTGTGAATCCCTTTTGAGACATCTGTTTCATACCCATGAACATGAATATAATGCCAGTACTGGCCAATCAAGTTGTCAAGCTCCATGCTTCTACTGTGACCAATTTTGTTGTTCCACTGAGCCCGATGACTGGAACCTGGTAATAAATTTTGAGATTATACCTTCTTTTATTTTCAAAGTTTGAAAACTTTTCAAGTTTATGTACAAATTGTTTCTCATAATCCACGCTTTGATTTGTTAATAGATGAATTATACAATGATCAATTTTAAAATACTTTAAAGCACGACTGGCTCACTGCCCCAATTGGTTTGTGCATAAACTGTATTGGTTGGTTGTTTTCTGTACCCATGGTGCAATGTGAATGTCAATCAGGTTTATTGAGAGTCCCAAATGCTCAGACTATAGGCTTGCCCTGCCATTTGCCTTGTCAGTGATCGTGGGTGCGTTCACAAATCTGTTAAAATATTCCAAAGTTAATCCACCAAAGAATGAAACGTGACACAATTTTTTCCTTAATCACTGACAAACAGGACTTCCAATTGTGGGCCGGTGATCCAAAAAACCATGGATGCACAATCTGAAGCAGCCTGCCAACGGCCTGATGACCCTACCACGATGCAACAATCTGCAGCAGCCAGCGAAGAAACTGATGTCCCTACCACGATGCAACAATCTGCAGCAGCCAGCAAAGAAACTGATGTCCCTACCATGATGCAACAATCTGAAGCAGCCTGTCAACGGCCTGATGACCCTACCACGATGCAACAACCTGAAGCAGCCTACCAACGGACTGATGACGTCCCTTCCATGATCCAACAATCTGCAGCAGCCTACCAATGGACTGATGACATCCCTTCCATGATCGAACAATCTGCAGCAGCCCACCAATGGACTGATGACATCCTTTCCATGATCGAACAATCTGCAGCAGCCCACCAATGGACTGATGACATCCCTTCCATGATCGAACAATCTGCAGCAGCCCACCAATGGACTGATGACATCCCTTCCATGATCGAACAACCTGAAGCAGCCTACCAACGGACTGATGACGTCCCTTCCATGATGCAACAATCTGCAGCAGCCCACCAATGGACTGATGACGTCCCTTCCATGATCGAGCAACCTGAAGCAGCCTTCCAACGGACTGATGACGTCCCTTCCATGATCGAACAATCTGCAGCAGCCCACCAATGGACTGATGACATCCCTTCCATGATCCAACAATCTGCAGCAGCCCACCAATGGACTGATGACATCCTTCCCATGATGCAACAATCTGCAGCAGCCTACCAACGGACTGATGACATCCTTCCCATGATGCAACAATCTGCAGCAGCCTACCAATGGACTTCTGCTCCTACCACTATGCAACAGGAGGCTCAGGTACCTGCTGCATTAGGTAAGTACGCATCACAGGGTGGGTAAAAAAAAGAAACCCAAATGGTGTCTTTCCAGATCTAGGATATGAAAACCTAATTATTAAGTTTTTATTTAGTGAAGGGACCATTCAAATTGCTCTTGTACTTTTCCCAGGTATAGGAATTTTGAAGACAAACACCATTTTTTAAGCTTTTCCACAGATCACAAAGGTTGGTGATATTTAAGCAAAATGAAAACTATTCCCATATCAATTAAACACATCAGAACACTCTCATAACCATGGTAACTGGCACTAATCATAACATTTATTTAGTGTTGAAACATACATGTATGAGTTATTGACAAGAAATATCGTACAAATACTGTTCAAATCACTTTTGCGAATCAGTATTTGTGGCGTTTGGCTGTACATGTACATGTTTATCAGAAGTTGGCTGACAAATTTTACATTTTGAAAATTTCAAAACTTTCGGCAAAAATAAACCTGGCGTGAAGTGGTTAAAATAAGAGGCTTTATACTGTCAATAGTTTATTGTTTTGCACTGCCTTGTTTTGGGCTACCCCAGAGACTTATGGGATTAATGATTCTGATATCATTTTCAGGATGCGACATGGTTTCATTTTTAATACTGAAATATCACATGCCAAATGTGATTTGTGGACAAGGTTAAAAAACCTTGTTGTCTTCAAAATTCCATAAATGGAAAAGTGCATGAGCGATTTGAATGTGTCTTTCACCAAGGCCAAAAAAAAAAGTCTCCGGTTTCTGGTATGCGCGCGTCGCGTAGCCATGCGCGTCGGCAAAATGAAATTTTTTTTTTTTCAATGAAAGATGATGTCTCAAACCGCCAAACTCACTGGTTTGACTGGAATTCTGCTGGTGCACAATTTTAACGTGTTTTTAAATGGGGTTATGATCGAGAATAAGCTTTATGTGGCCTCTCTGGACTCCCATATATTTGCACTAAGTTTAGCCGGGCACCATTTGCAGTCATCAGCCAACATTTGAAGCAAAAAAGTCGGGTAAAAAAAAGAAAAGCCGTTTCGCCGCACCACTTTTTGGACAAGCTCCATACCAGAAACCGGAGACTTTTTTTTTTGCCTAAAAGAAAGCTTAGTAATTTAGCTTTCATAACCTAGATCTGGAAAGTGCTACATGCACAACTTCTTCAAAAAATAGCTAGGGGGCGCCATTTGGGTTTCTTTTTTTTTTACTCACCCTGTAGTTGCTTGTAGTCGGATTTTAACCTTTAGTGGAGAAGCATTTACCACCCTCCCCCTCCCCACCTCACCCGAAGATTTGAGATTGATATGCATGTACCGGTAGATGTAGGTATTTCTTGTACTTCTTTGTCTATTATCGGTCAGATCATGGAGCTCCTTTTTATAGCTCCATGGTCAGATTGAATAAAAAATGTTTTTCTTCTATGAAAGGCACGGAGCCCCTAAAGGGACATTCAATATTATTTTTGTTTATCTTGTGCGAACGAAATAATATCTCATGCGCACGACATATATATATATAAGGAGCTAGCTGGCTGCACGTGGCGTGCACAAAATCAGACGACTTTGTTTGTAACGAAAGCAGCGAGTTTATTTGGGAGGGGGCGTAATCATAAATGCAGCCATTACGTTACATGTCAAGTCAGATAGATGGGGATTTTTGATTAATTTTGTAAGACTGCCTTTTTGAGAGAGAGAAGTGTTTATATAGCTAAAAATTCATTAGATAGAAGTTGCGCCCGGGTTTTTTTTATGTCGGTGAAGTGCCAAACCTACTTATGTTTTATAGCTAAGAAAACAACAAGGAATTAAAAACTGTTACATGTATGTGCAGGTAAACTTGGGGAATAATCAATCAGTGTTTTCCAACTTTGAAAATTAAAGGTTGGCGCTGGGGTCGGCGGGGACTCCTGCGAGCACGAAGCCCTTACGGCATGGGGTCCGGGGCCCGCTTAAGGGCCCCGAGAAAATTTTGGATTCTAGATGCTCTGTGGTGCAATCTGAGGCGATTTCAGGCCAGTTCCCCCGATTTTTTTAGCATTCGAAAATTACCTTTTCAAACTAAAGCAGACTTCTCTCAGATCAAATGACACCTTTTTGTAAGTTTGAAGAAAAAAAAAGGATACAAATTACTGTATTGACATGCAAGGGGCTATTCACTTTCTTTACTTCTTGACTTCATTTTTTTTTTTTTTTACAAATAATGGTTATGATGAGTACAGTGGTAAGAATAATTCCATCTGTCACCTCATGAAACTATTCTTTATGTTGCACGAATGTGAAACATTCATTATTTGTTTATACAACGCCTGAGTAAATCCTTGTCATCTGATTTGTTAGAGCCATCAGAGCCGTGTAACACCGCTACCAATAGTGTGACCGTGGAACTGAACTTCTGTTTTTGCGGTGTAGCCAGGCCGTGTGGGTTGGGATGATTAATCCAATAAATCATGTGATTAATAACCCACCAATCAGATGAAGGGGATTTATTCAGGTGTTGTATTATAAGAGACATTTTATTCCCATTTTCCGGACATGATCCCAGTTGCAGCAGTCGATCAATTGCAGCAGTCAGTGCAGCAGATATCAAGAGGTAGAAGACAACAAATAATTAATGATACACAATCTCTTTTCATGCATCCACTCCTATTTGCTTATTTCTGGATCAGTGTAATTTATTGCATGTTTGATTGAAATAGGTTTCTGATGAAGCTTTCAAGATAATAAGTCAAAGTGGGAGCAGGACCTAAATATTGTTGAATCATGAGCATAAACAAGACAAATAGTTTGTCTGGTGTTTGTGTTGTGAAGCATAGGCTGCATCCGAATCAGCTGTCTAGAGCTCGGTCTAGGTCTGGGCCCATTGATGTACAGTGATGTAGTTGCTGCCACAGAATATTAGCCAGTTGGCAACTTACTGCAAATTTGTACAGTTCATCAAAGCAGAGACCTTGTGTTGCTTTACCAACCGTTGGCCTCAACTAGGGATGCGTTACTGCAACGAAATGAAATCGTTTTTAAAACAATAATTTCAATAAATACATGTACCTGCATTATGTAGCACATTTGCAAATTGTAAGCATTAACCCTCCTAGTCTTCTGCACTTTGGCTGGTACAGTTATCACCCCTACTTCAAATTTGGTTGCTTTGTGTCGGTTTGGATAACACTTCAAATTACAGCACAATTGTTGTGTGTGGTGAAGCTCATTTTAGGCAAGAATGTAGATTCTGTCATGCTTCCTGGATGTTGACACACAGCTGTGTTTTTGTGAAGTGACTATTATATTTGTGTGCATGTATATGACACAGTTACTTTTACACTTCACATCCCTTCACTTGAAACTGACTTTCAGGGTTTTAAAGGGTTGACTTCCCACGAGGAGGGTCAATTCCCTAATAAAAGATAATGTGCTTGTCGACCTTTTTCGACAATAAGCAATTATCCTTCTCATATTTGATTTGATTGAAGATGATGCACATGCATCACACCACTCTGGTCATCCATCAGTTGACATATCAGAGAATCCACCAAGTACATCACAGCAACCACCAACACGGCATGTGGCCTCAGGTGCACAAGGTAATTATCAATGAATGTACCAACTCCAAACCAGATGTAAATGTAGTCATTCCTTACAGATAGAGAAACACTTGTACTGGGTGAGTAAAAAAAAGTGGAACCCAAACCCCAAAAATTATATTTCATTTAAAAAAATATGTAGCACCAAACACCAGACTGGAAAGCAAATTTCGTAAGCTACTTTTGATGCAAAAATTACTGAAATTGATCACTCCGTTCAAAGAATATCACCATTTAAACGTAATGACTTTCAACCTGTTTCGTCCAAAAAAGCAGTTTATTGTGTATGCTGACTGTTTGGAACAACAAAGAAAATAACACAGAATATTTGTTTCAACAACTGTCAACAACTGCAGTACACAGTATCTTTATTAACAACCCTGGTTAGGGAGTGGGGAGTGGAGATACATTTAATTACCACCCTCCCCCTCCCCACCTCACCTGAAGATTTTTTGATACAGCCTGGTGTGGTACGTCATGTACTTCTTTGTCTATGAACGGTCAGATTGCAAAAAAAACACATTTGTCTTCCAAGAACAGACGACAAGTAGAGATGGAATCAAGCACATGCATACATCATTTTGTCTGTCGTTTTCTTAACGATGGTGTTATTCTTGCTTCTGATTGTAGATTCCCCAAGACTGGAACCAACTGGAACCATCGGAAACAGCGGCACAATCAGTGGCAGCAACAACCCTGTCATTGTTGGTTCAAATGTTGGTTCAATCAATTACACCTTCCTGTTGGAGGGACCTGGTAAATAATAATCTTGTTCGTTAAGATGGAAGAAATTTGATATGAAATGTCAATATCTATATATATATTTTTTCCGTTTTATGGGAGAGAGAGAGAGAGAGAGAGGGGGAGACATAAACATGGGCGCAAAAGACTGTCAGATCCAAAACATTGTTGACACAATGGAGGGTGCTTTATATAGCGGTTAAGTCTTGTACTTTTTTTTAATGATTAAGTTTTTAAATAATAACAGGTATTTATATAGCGCTTTTAAACGGGGTATCGCTTTACAATTATTATTACCTTCTGAACTCCCTGGGGAGCATACACGGCCGGTAGGCAGCCATTTCGGTGCTCTTGGCTGTAATCAACCTCACACAGTAACTATCTCTGCCCTCACAGGTACCCATCTACTCCTGGGCGGAGTGAAACACTGAGTGACAAAGCGCCTTGCTCAAGGTCACATGCACCATGACCCTATGCTGGCCAGGCAGACTACATATTCAATGCTCCAGACCACTAGGCTATATATTTGTGCCACATTTGAAAAAGGCTTGACCTAAGTCCCACATTATTTTTGCATTGATCAGGCTTTCAAGTATTTCTATTTTTCCTATTTTTGCCTATTTTTTTTTTTACCTTTCTCCGACTTTTCCAACTTTTTCTTAAAAATTCTTACTTTTTCCCACTTTTTTATGTCCCACAACTCTGAAAAATGAAATCTCACTGAACAATTTTCATAACGGTGTTACACATTGTCATATGTAAATCACACAATGAAGGGCTTGGGCGCAGTAGTACTGCAACTGTACTTCCAAGAGCTTAGTTGAGGATGGAGCACATGTGTTGTGAGTACAGAACATGCCAAATGAGGCATATGATGCTGTGGACGTGGGTGAGTATCAACAAAAACTACTCCTGAAAGCCCACAAAAGTCCTACTTTATCCTGATTTTGTCCTCCAAAGTCCTGTTTCTGTCCTGTTTTGGTTTCCTTAAACTTGATGCTATTTTTCTTCTCATGTTTTCCTGGGTCTGCTTGAAAGCTTGATTTATGCATGAGTGAATGGAATAATGGGTTGTTTTGGGTGGAAAAATGAATAATCATGGTTGGTAACATGAGCTGTTGGGCTAAGCAAATTTTGTTATGGGTTTGTACATTGCGATTGACTTCAACTTATTACTTCAATCGAATTGAAGTAATATGGTGGATGCACTTTCTGGTGCATGCATCCACTCCTGCATGTAGTTGCTTATTTCTGGATAGGGCTGGAAAAATGACTTCTGATTCTGGTTACCAACTGACACTGATTGTTATTATGACCTGACCCCAAAACATTTATTTGATCAAATGAAACTTTTTTTGGCAAAAAAATATGCACATCGTGTAATACTCCATTCAATCAGCACAAAACAATTTCCAACCAAAAATAATAATAACTCCAACCTAACCCGTGGGTTAGGTTGGAGTTAACACTTCAAATCCCAGCACAATTGTTTTGTGTGGTCAATCTTAATTAGGGCAAGAATGTTAGATTCAGTCTCAAAATTCTGTGCAGTTTTTGTATCTCTAAAATCAGTGAGCAGGAGGTTATTTCAATCCTGTCAAGCTCTTTTCCTCCCAAGCTCACAAAGCAACAAGCCTTTAGTGCTTTAACTTTTTGCATACAATGTGCCAATATTTCAGCTCAAAATTGCACCTTCTACAGATGAGCTAGTCTAGGGGCTAGACATTGTTATGGTTTGATAGGCGATAACCCGACGCGTTGATAACCCGCCGCCGTGATAAGGCGTTATCACTACCACTCAATGTCACTAACAACGTCTAGGGAAACATGTATCAGTTATGTAAGCACGTGCACCTGTTTGGCCTAATATGTGCAGTGCGCATTCAAAACATTTCATAGTAGTTCTGAACCAAACTCTTAAATTTCTTCCAATAGTATAAAAATGCAGTAAGTGCAACTTCACCTGTCAGCTAATGTTATGGTGTGTAGTATGTGTGGGACTGAAAATGGACTGTAATTGCCTGCAGAAGCAATACGTTGTTAGTGACCATTCGTTGGTGATTGGTTGATCATTATAATGCCCTCTCGCGGCGGCGGGATATCACGGCGGCAGGTTATCGCGGCAGCGGGGTATAGCGTATCAAACCATTACAACGTTTGGCCCCTAGACAAACAAGAAGCAAATTCAGTGGTTGAATGCCACAATGCATTATATAATTAAGCCAATCAACTGTGTACTCATTTTAATATTGTAGGATGCAGCACACCCATAGACAGGAAGCTTGGCAGTCCGGCCCAAGATGCTGCTGACTGCTGTGAAGGTGAACTGAAGTCATACTACAGGGGGAGAGGTAGCTTTGTTAAGTTGATTCCATGGGAGGGTGATGACAGGAAACACATCACAGATATGTACACAAGACTACAGTTAATAACTGGTATTAAGGACAAAGACAGGCTGGTATCGTATAACGAAATATTACAACTTAAGACAAAAGAGGGAGACCTGATCCCAATAGCTGTTTTAACTGGGTTGGCTGGTAGAGGAAAGACCACACTTTTTGAAAAAATGCCATATGATTGGGCAGTTGGTTCTAGTCAGGTACTACAGAGGTATAAACTTGTCTTCCTGTTGAAAATGCACGCACTGGAGCAGAGTTCAGATCTTGTTGATGCAGTTTTTGACCAACTCTTGGCTAAAGATACAAGTATTGATAGAGGTGCCCTGGGCATGTTTATCAAGAACAGTCCTGGAAAGGTCCTCATTTTACTTGATGGCTTTGATGAGCTCATGACTACCTCCTTGTGTGAATCCTCGTTTGGTTCCATCCAGGAAGTCCTTAATGGAACGATGCTGCGAGGTTGTACTGTACTTGTGAGCACCCGCCCCTCACACTTTGACAGACTTGTTTCAGAGAACCTGGTTCAGGAACCATTCACACATGTCAGGGTCCTGGGTTTTAGTAGAGACGATGTCACTGAGTATGTGAATAAATTTTTCACTGGCGAAACTGACAAGGCCAAGGGGCTTCTTGAAAGGATAAGATTTTCACGTCTTCTGTCTACTTTAGCTGAGAGTCCAATGCTTGTTCTTTTGATGTGTGTACTATGGAGAGAAGATTGCACACTCCGAGAAACAATGTCACGTTTGTATCTTGATGGAGTGCCATATGTCTTCAAAAGAAAAGGATTGGACTCACAAGATGAAGTATCAAAAGTTATGATTGAAATTGGCAAGGTTGCGTTGCATGGTCTTCTTTCTCCAGATCAGTCACTCTCTTTCAAAGAAAGTGACTTTGAGCCGAGTGTGCTTGAGCAGGCTCTGACAGCAGGCATTCTGACCAGACAGAGAGTCCGCAAGAGACTACAGAGTCACAACAGTTATCAGTTTATTCACAAGACATTCCAGGAATTCTCTGCTGCTGCTTACTTGCAAAGCTTGTTAGAAGCAGACCCAGAGGAATTTCAGAAGATTTTGAATGAAATTATGTCCAAGGGTGCATGGAGGTTTGAGTATCTTCTGCGCTTTTGTTGTGGTGACAATGAGGCATGTACATATGAGATTCTGACGGTATTTCAGGTGAGGTGTCGTAAGGAGTTGTCCTTCAAGTCATCCTCACAGATGGGTCAGTTGGCTCTGCATTGTTTCTTTGAAGGCCAATCGAAGCGTTTGCCTCCAGAGGAATTCATACATTCATTCATAACTGATGAAATCTCCATTAGAGACCTTGACAGGGATAATCTGAACTCAGTCATACACTTTCTGAAATGTGTTGCTGAACAGACAAAAAACAGTGGCAACACATACCTTGCTAAGGTAAAGAAATTATTTGTAAACGTTGATGAACGGACATGGTTTATTGGCATGATTGAGGAGTTAGCTGTTACCATGTGTGCAATGACAAACCTTAATGCTGTACATTTCTTGTTTTGCCTACCATTGACTGGTAGCAACATGGCAGATATTGCTAAGTCGCTCAAGGACCTAACCAACTTGCGTGAATTTTTTATTCATTGTAGTAGAAACCTGGGTGGTACAGCAGCATTATGGTGCATGCATTTGAAGCAGTTGAAATCTCTCAAGAAGCTGCACTTGAGTGCCTGCAGTTTGAATGGCCAGGACATAACACTTATTGCTGAGTCACTTATTGATTTACCTAACTTCAGTGAATTGAACCTTTTTAGTAATGACCTGGGTGGTACAGCAGCATTGTGGTGCATGCATTTGAAGCAGTTCAAGTCCCTCAGGAAGCTGAACTTGAATTCTTGCTCATTAAATGTAAAGGATATCAAACATGTTGCTGAGTCATTCAGGGATCTACCCAACTTGGTTGAATTGGATTTTTCTCATAATAACCTGGGTGGTACTTCAGCATTATGGTACACGCATTTTAACCAGTTGAAGTCCCTTACAAAGCTGGATTTGGGTAGCTGCTCATTGAATGGAAAGGACCTGAAACATGTTGCTGAGTCACTCAGGGATCTACCCAACTTGGCTGAATTGTATCTTTATTTTAATAGACTGGGTGGTACAGCAGCATTATGGTGCATGGAGGTAAAGCAGCTGCTGCACCTTCAGAGGCTGAACCTCATATACTGTCACCTGACAGAGGAAGACAAGAACCATATTGATGAGTCACTCAGTGACCTAAGGAAGAATGGATTAGACATTGACATGCTGTATCAATAGTAATAATCTCTGTGGGAAGGAATGCATGTAATTTTAACTGCCTATTCATTGCACCATCAAAACCATGTGAATGTCAGTAAGATACATAACCTATATGAGTAACAATATCTTCCACATACTTTGGTTTTGAATAATATAAACTATGCCAAAGCTTTTTCATAAGCTTTTTCTTTGTTAGGCAGTTAGAGGGAAGATCTAAAACCTAGCTAGAAGCAAAATTGTAACAGGAGTGATTTGAGTTAAGCAAGAGATTTCCTCAGTGGCATACATGTGGCTACTTCATTGCAATTGGAACCGTTCTTTCTATTAAGCTGCACATCACTGCACATTGACAGTTACAGATGTGAAGCATAGATGACATTGTAGTAGGTGTGGCACTGATGGGCAGGACTTCTGCCTAAATTGGTCGGACTGCAGAATCTTTACTTTCATTAACACAAGACATTGGTGACTCAGCAACATCATGCAAGTCAAGGACACATCTATCAGTCAACTGTTTAATGTTGTCACCCATTTCAAAGCTGGAAAGGTGAATTTCTGATTGTAACATTCTGTTATTAATCTGACATTGTCTTCATGAGGTGATTTTGCATTTTAAAAACCAGGGTCTTTTCAAACCAGGATTTTGTTGCTTTTATTTTACACATCCCATTGTAACTTACACTTGTTGCCTGTTGTGATGGGGTCCATGGTGTTTTGTACACCCGAGAGTCGCCTCGGATTCCATTTGCACCCGAGGGTGTACAAAACCCATGGAACGCAGGCAACAATTGTTTTGTTATACCACGGTAATAGATTCCAAACGTCTGAAATTGTGGGTTTCCTCCAGTTGCCATGCAGTAATCACGGAAGTATTGGAAAGATCCGCGATTACTGCACTGTGAATATTCACACAGAATATTTTTGTTCATTGCAGGAACACAAATTAATTTACCTTTTCCAGAATAGACCAATCCATCAATCCCTGCCCCGTTATGCACAGCTGCGACCATAGTCTATGTGCGTCCATCCGACATAATGCGCGCGCATTCATCCGACATTATACAAGGCGGAAACAACATGTCAACAGTGAGAACGATCAAATTACTCATGTGACATGGGTATAGTCCCCTGACACAGTATATGGGTGTGTTTATGGTACATCACGTGCTCAGTTCTCGACCAATTAAAAATCACAATCTATTACCGTGGTATAACAATATCTGGTTAATCCCTTCAGGCAATATGCAACACTACAAGTGGTCAGTCCAATGCTTGGACACAAGTATACACCATGCATGCACACAACACAGGGACACAATCATTTAGGAATCTGTTGTTCATGCACCATTTTCTTTGATTAAAAGAATAATAGATGGTTTCATTACTAGACATAAACAAATTTTACACTGGATGTTACAGTATTGAAATTCTGTGTGCATTTAGGTCAATCAAGAAGGGTTGATGTCAATCAGTCAAGTGATGATAATTGTTTCCTGCTGATGGTGGCTGGTCAACTGTAATAATCAACCCCAATGTGATTTCAAGTTGAGTTAAGAGAGCGGTGAAATCCTGGAACCAAAACCAAATTATATACTTGGGTATTTTCTTAAAAGAAGGTTTCACAGCATGGGGAAGATGTCAGTTTGTGAAGGGATGTTTCCTTTCACATGTCTCTGAGTGTTTCCTATACTTTCTGTTTCCCTGAGGGATGGGCGGGACCGGAGTTCCAACCGTCTACCGCCCTCTAACTTAACATGTTGTGTTATAAAATCACCAGCTGTGATGAGGGAATCTTTCATTGAAGTTATCATTTGAGTGTTTCTTACACTTTGTGTTTCACATGGGAAAGTGAGTTCCAGTCATCTACCACCCATTGACTGACACACACTTCCTATCAGCTTTGAGGGATTATTTCTGTGAACATGCATTGGCGTGTTTATGATGATTTGTGTTTCCCTGGGGGAGTGAGTCCCAGTCATCTACCGCCCTGTGACTGAACACATTCTGCCTATCAGCTGTGAGGGGATCTTTCCTTGAACATGCCTCTGTCTATCTCTGCTGGTTTGTGTTTCCCTGGGGGAGTGAGTTCCAGTCATCTACCGCCCTCTGACTGACACATTCTGCCTATCAGCTGTGAGGGGATCTTTCCTTGAACATGCCTCTGTCTATCTCTGCTGGTTTGTGTTTCTCCTAAGGGAGTGAGTTCACCCTCTGACAACACATAGTGCCTATCAGCTCTCGCTGTTTCTTCTGCTGTGTTTCTTTCCTGTACTCTCTCTCATACATTTGAAGATTTTGCACTGACTCCAAGCAAATTCAATCACCCTCATCAACTGAAAGTCAACATTCCTTTGTCCCCTTAATGTCTCCCCGGCCCATACAGAAAGTCCCTTGGCCTTGTCAGCTTTGAACCCTTAGCTGCATCAACTGACTTGAACTGTCTGCTCAGATTAATCATTACAGTCAAATTTGGACCTTCCCGCATTGATGGGGAAATATCCAGCACAAAGTGCTGGTTAGTGGTGACATTTTGTGAGTCTCATTGTCAAATTCTGCAAAAACACTTAAGATCTGCCCAAGCAAATGATTTCTGTATTGGATAGTTTAACTGCACCTTGCACAGTGTACCAAGGGGCACTACGGAAAATGTAGAAATTTGTTCAAATGCTAGTTACCCAGGATATTTTTCAGAGAGGAAGATATTTGCAAGAACTGTCTGTAGTCTGTGAATAATGAGGATCCTTATCTCTGTATTCCAGTAACTTGACTGTGACAGATGTAACAGTTGTAATTACATGTAGTGTGGTCATTACTCTACGGTATGATGATTGGGGATAACATGTACATGTAGAAATACAACCAGCCATTCTCATTGACTGTAATACTTGTACATTACATGATACATTGTTTGTAAATAGGTAGCTGCAATTGCCATTTTTAACATTTTGTATCAGTAATTAAATGATTGCTGCAGTGTTAATGTTCGTTGTCTGTTTCTCCAAATGCTTTTTTCTTATGAGTTTGAATTTCCTTAACATTATTAAATAACTTGTAATGTATGCAGGGCCCAGTAAAAACAAGTTTTTAACTGTTTGGGCACACCCTGGGTAAAGAAATTATGCAGTACATAAATAAAAGAAATAACTTTTCAATCCTAGCAGGGTCTTTCTCAAATGCAAACAAAAATTATGTTCCTCCCCTTGTCCCATCCCCTAGCCCCTTTGATCTTTACCTACGGTAGTCTGCACACTCATTTGGTCCTTCCACTGCCCCCTGCCCCGTTCTCCTTTGTGTTTTTCCTTCCATCCTTGCATGCTTGTGCCTCCCCTACTTGTTTGTTTCTGAACCACTGTCATTTTTGCCTGTGTGAAAGATCCTGCCAGAATCTGAAATGTTGTGCTTTTATTATCGTTTTCAAACAAAACAAAGTTGCATCAGTGGTGGTTATAGCCTGATTACACGTCTGAAATTGCTTTGGTTTTGTAAATCAAATCACAAATATTATCGCAAACAATTGTAATAATTGTAAATATTGCATATATTTATTTTGTTCGTCTGAAGACTGGGCAAAGTGAGCCTGATATTTCTATTTTCATAACTTCTATTTTTATAACTTCTATTTTGTATCAATAATTTTGTACATTTTATAGCAGCCAACTTGCCTTGTTTTTGTACCAAGTTATAAGAATCATGCAACTTGCCATCATTGGATCCAGTACAACTCAGATTTGTTTTCTTTTTAATATCAGGAATCACATATTGCATGATGTACATTGTATAGTGTTTACAATGGGTCAGATGTTTGTTATTTCTAGATGAATGTTGCCTTTATTATGCACTGAATGCCCGCATCATTAGCGTAATGCTGACATAGCAGGCTGACATAGTCTAGTGTGGGGTTTTCTCTTTGTCTTGTGTCACACACAATTAAGCATGGCATTTGAGTTTATGATACACAAGGTTTTCAAGCAAATCAATAGCACTCTTTTCTCAGTCATTTGTTGCTGTCAATGTAAATCTCTGATTGAGCAAAGGCTACACCAAGTTAGGACACAACAATTATATGAAATTTGTCTCATGTAAGTTTTATGTGATTGAGACAGCCAGCACGTATTTGATCCGATCTTTCAAATTGCTGTTCTGTTTAAGTTCTCGCTCTTTGAATATTCATAAAGGTTTGAAAACGATACTTCAAATGATTCTGATGTTTGACAGTATTAAAGTGTTGGTTTTTTTCTTTTAAAGATTGTTTGTTACTTCCTTGCTGCAATACTCAAGAAATATTTTCTCTTTTCATTTTGCTTCATCCCAAAAGACAGTACTGAAATTTCTTCCTTCACAATTACCTTGTATTTATTGATAAGTTTCCAGTGAAAGTCAAGTTTCAAGTTTCATGTTCATTCCTGGTATGAAATTGATGTCGGTCAAAATTAAGGGTTTTGTGTGCCTCATGCGTTTTGATATTTGAACTAAGTTTACATCTGATAAGTCACATTTAAAAGTATGGGATTGTTGTATGCCAATGTAGTTAAATAAAGACACTTTTGCAACTGATTGCTTGTTTGTTAACAGCTGTGTGTTTTTGCGTGTGTGTCAAGTTCTAAATATGGCTGGGGTGAAATTTACAATGGGAGCGACAAGTTAGAAGGGGAATTATTTGGTTGAAGAAAAAGGTAGATTAAACGTTGCTTGTTGCTGCTAAATGTGCAGGATTATTTTAACGACCTACCCCCCCCCCCTCCACATCATCAATGTGTATCAATTCTTTTAGGAACAGGAGCCAAATGAGAGGTATACAAATTATTAATATGAAGACATTTTCCTTTCATTTTGCAAGCAAATATTTGTAAAGGGATGTGAAACGTTGGACTTCTGACGCTTGTTTTGATCCGCTAACATTATAATGTGAGGGAGACAAACCACACCACAATACAGAGGACCCCCCGAAGCCCTCTGTTTTGACCGCGCCCAGTCCGTGTTATTGAAAACTTTTTTTGAATACCGCCCTCTATTGCACTGAGGTCGATGACCAACACCAGGAAATAAATCTGACGGCTCATCAACCCTCATCATCAAGTGATCAACAAGATTCTCGGCCGGCCCACTAAAGGTTGGAAAGTTTGTTTTTTTACCATTAATTATATATTTAAAGTGATAATTAGGGTTGGATATAGCATCGTGACTATTTTGATTCTTTTTAAAGATACAATCATTGATTTTTTCAGAGTGGTTTTTTGCCAAAAAAATGACCAACCCAACTTCCAAAGTCAAGACAAGAGTGCGCTCGTAATCGTATACTACTGTAGGCGCCTTTCCACCGCCCTGCAAACAGCTGGCGCTGGGAAGGGTTGATGAGCTCAAACTTCACAGAATTTTGTGAAGGAAGTTGGAATGGCAATCTGCAGCTGTTTAAGACAGCAGTTGACGTGATGGCGGCCAATGCGCACAAATGCTATTTGAAAACTTTCTCATAGAAATGCACGCATTCCATACATGGGCGTCGCCAGGATTTTTTCTAGAGGGGGGGCACAATTTTTTTTTGGCCAAAAAAGGCTTGTATTTCTCAACACATTCTCGATTTATCAGTTTTAGAGGGGGGCAGGGACATCCCCCCCCCCCAACTCATGAAATTTACACCACTTTGTCTTCGCGCCTCTTTTTCTTTTCTTTTCTTTTCTTTTCTTTTTCTTCCTTTTTTTTTTTTTTGCTTTTCATGGGGGAGGCAAGTGCCCTCCCTTGCCCCCCCCCTCGCGATGCCCATGATTCCATAGCCTACCGAGTACCGGATGTGATGTCTTTTTCATTGCGGACCATGTGGACAAATTTTGAGCATCGCATAATATGCAATTTGACCCTTAGTGAATTCGAAACGGAGCCTGAGCAAGTGATGGGAATTGAAAATTAACAAAACAGATAAGTTTTACAGATTTTCCTATATATTTTATTACTGTATTACACTTAAGCTATTCAACGAAAAAAACAACAACCCATTTTGGCCGAGGGAATGAAAGTCGTAGAATACCGTCTACCGCCTGCATGTGCTGAAAGGTGCCGCCGAAATTTTCTTTATTTACCCCAAAAAATCATTATTTACCCAGAATATTAGTCTGCCTCAACAGTCTACTTCTAATTTGATCAGAATCCGCTCTACACAATTTTTCTAACGCAGGATAGGGAAAGATTCCCATATCTGGCCATCACTTGTCACCCTGTGCACCCACCCTATGGGACTGATCTGAAAGGGGTAAGTGTTTTCTCAGTAAACATTCAAAATTTATCCCAGCTAATTTTGACTTTTTAGGACATTATCACTTTATGATGGCTGATAGGTCATTTAAGGGAAAAATTACTGGTGGCCAGATATGGGAATCTTTCCCAGAATAGTCGTATTCTGTGTACCACATTGGTACGAAACCCAATCTGCCCACGCGTACAGAGTATGGTGAACACGCGGTACATCAATACGTGCATACAATGTATAGCGCGCGGTTACCAGCATGACCAGCACTAGCGCTGCATGATACCAACGACTGCCTGTGGCCGTTTTTCCAAACACTTTCTTAAATTCTGGTTAGTGCTTCAGAATAAAGAATAATGAATAATAAAAATAGTTCTCACTGTTTTTCAAAAACAGCAGGACGGTATTCTTTGACTTTCATTCCCTCGGCCTTATGAATGTCGTGAATATTTTAAAAAGCAATGAATCATTGCTCAGTCTTTACTTAATGGCTGTTTAAAACCTTGCAGAGTTGTGGCCATGATGACTTGCAGGTCACAGGTCACGCAAAATCTATCCAATCAGAGCGTGAATTATCAGCCCTTCCCTGAGCGTCCTGTTTGCTGGGTACTTCTAGAATTAGAAGGCTTCTCTCCGTCTAGTTTTAGTGAAATGTCCAGATTCGTTTTCAACATGAAATTTTACGAAAATTAGACATCTGAAAAAGGCAGCACTTCTGATTAGCCTATAAAGGGGGTGAGTATGCTTCTAAAGCAAAAATACACTACAAACTAAGCCTAAATGTGAAAATCAAAATTTGACAGAGTTTGAAATGTTTTTGTACATTGATGGTGGAAGTGGAAGTGTGGCCTTTTATGGAGGTAGTTCAGTAAATTTGCCACATTTATGGGGCTATGTACACGACTGCTGAGGTGGCGCGTATGGCATCCGAATACTACATTCTTTCCCCAGATTCATGCACAGCATTCACCACTATGGTGCTCCATAACGGACATCAAATAAAACAAAATGTTAATCGCGAGAGAAATATTGTAATTTAGAATAGTAGTGTTAGAAATTCTGTTCTTTTTTTTTTGAGTACGGCAGAGCATGATTGGCTGTATGATAACTAATTTGAAGATGTTGAATAAACAGGGAATTTAGCCAAACCACCCCAACTCCATCAAAATCCATTGCCCCATTTTGGTGGATTTTGGGGTCCAGACATGCCAGAAGGCCTAGCGTGACTAAATATTGATGGAGTATGATGGACTTAGGCCTAATGGCCTGAACGTGAGGCAGTGCTTGGGGTATCCGATTGATTTTGCCTCAGCTTCCTGTACTGCTATTGTGATAAAAGCCATGTGTAGCAAGTCCATGAATGTCAACCAGTGCGTCAGTGGTGGATTCCATTATGTTCAGTTTTGTATTAGACGCACAGTGATTGATGGCTTTTGATGGAATTGGTCCAGTTCCTAGTAACAGATACTAGGGAATTAGGGGTTAAGCTGACTTGTAAAAAGAATGGACTTGGTCTTTGTGTGTAGGCTAAATGGTATCTGTAGTAATGCTTCGCCAAGTGGGACGCGGTAATATTACTAATATTATTAGCCAGGATAATGCCTCTAATTTTTAAACTGATTGCGATGCCACCCAGAACTTGTGTAAAACTAAAGCATACTATCGCTTAAAGATCATGTGTAAATCTCATCAAATTTCTCATCAGTATAGTTTTTCCACAACAGGTCAAAGAAGTCCAGCACCACAATAAAAATGTACGTCGATCGGAAACAGTTGTATGATGATGCCTCAGCACCCACGTGAAACACAAGAGCTTTCTTGCAAATACAAGCTGGATGAGGGTATGCCGCACTGGGGAGAATTCCTTTCATTGTAAAAGCAATTGGATGCCACTCTTAAATTTTATAAAACTAAAGAAAGTTCATGTGTTAAATCTCATCAAGTTTCCATGTGTAGTTTGTCCATAACACGTGGAGGAAGTCCAGCACCACATTCAAGAAGTATGCTGGGATGAGAAATCTCAGCTTTAAAGCTGATTTCAGCAGTTTTTGTTGTGGATTTCAGCTTTTTTTCCCTCACTTGCTGTGTACAAAAGTATAGGAGATTTTTTCACCTTTTTTCCAGCTGTTTTCAGCTATTTTGATCAGTGGTCACTCACACCCCTGAGTATGTCAATCGGAAACAGTCTTTTGCCTCGGCCATGTCAGCGCCCGTGTGATACACACATGCTGGAGAGCTTGCTTGCAATACAAGCCGGATGTGGTATGCCGGGGAAATCAATGCCTCTCATTTTAATTGCATCGCCACTCCTCGACTAGTGGATGCCAAAGAATCAGGGTGGCATCATAAATGATCGGTCAATTTGCATGCAAGGTCTCCCACATTTCACGTGGACGCTGAGGCATAAGACTGTTTACAATTGATGTGCATTTTGAATGTGGTGCTGGACTTCCTCAAACTTGTTGTAGAAAACCTACAAATAGAAAACTAATGATGGATTTACACATGAACTTTAACAGATTCTCTCCTTTATTTTACCTTTAGTGTGGCATGTCCAATCACTTTAAAAATGAGAGGCATTTTCCCCAGAATACCCTGTCCAGCTTGTATGCAAGCAAACTCTCCCGCATTGTGTTTCACGTGAGCGCTGGGGCTTTATAATGTTTCTGATCAATGTACATGTTAAACGTGGTGCTGGACTTCTTCCACTTGTGGTGGGAAAAAGTACACATGCAAATTTGAAGAGATTTACATACAATCTTTAACAGATTCTCTCCTTTATTTCCATAAAAGGTCAGGCTGGCATCGCCATCAGTATAAAAATGAGAGGCATTCTCTCCGACATACCCCATCCAGGTTGTTGTCGGCAAGGTTCCCCGCTTGTGTTTCACACGGCCTACTGACGGGCGCTATTTCTGATTGACATACATTTTAAATGTGATGCTGGACTTCCTTGACTCGAAATGGAAAAACTACACATACCTGTAGAAGCTTGATGAGATTTAGACATGAACTATAATAGATTATCTCCTTTAGTTTTACAAAAGTTCATGGTGGCATCACAACTGGTTTAAAAATTAAAGGCATGTTCCCCGGCATCACCCCATCCTGCAACAAAGACCAAGTCAGCTCCCTTTTTATTCAACGTCTTCAAACGTAATTAGTTATCGTAAAGCCAATCATGCTCTGCCCTACTCAACAAAAAGAAAGAGAATTTCAAACACTACTTTTACAGTATTCCTCTCGATTAATATATTTTTTCAATGTCTGTTATGACGATTGAATGCTTTTCTGTCCAAAAGTCAAAAATTTTAATTTTTCCAACGATTTTGTTCAACAAAACACCCCTCTAGCTATATAATTGAATGCCCATCTTGCAAAAAGTAAAACACAACTCCATATATGGAGATTGGTGCGTGCGTCGCGCTTTTTCCGTGAAGTTTGTTTCTGGATGCTTCAGCTCGGATATTATCAGCATCCAGATTCCAACCGATGTTAAAGCTACAGTCCATCATTTGCAGCTATCCAAAAAGTAACTGACGTAATTATTGTTGAAAAACATACTTGGTTGAAAGATATTAAGGGGAATAAATTCCCTGTGAAATTATTCTTTCTGGCAAGCTGTCATTTTGAAGAAATCAATGAAAGATGGATGGCCTTTCCATAAGACGCACCATTGGAAATTTCCATAAGCAGTTTGTTTATTCAGCAAAGTGGGCGCAAGCGTTGGCACGATGTACACGCGTGCGCGAGTGTTGGCAGGACGCACATGTGTTCGTGGTTCCTATGATTCGTCTGATAGGTGCGCGACATCGCGTAGCTGCAATCAGCTCAGTGAGAACGTGTCTCGGACGCTGAATTCAGGCCCAATTCAAAACATGATTCAGCAACTTTTGATTTGAAATTGAGATCCTTGAATGCTGTTTTTCTCGGAATATACTGCTGAAGCTGAGCTGAAACTTCATCAGTTTAGTTGTTTAACACCCTTCTTTAGATTGTGAGCAAGCTTGTTGCTTCAAATGAATAAAATGCACAAATCACAAATGATGGATTGTACCTTTAAACAGTGTGTTCAAACTGGCCCAGCACACATTTATTCTCTTAATATTGAGGTCAACTAGGCCTGCTCCCACTTTGACTTATAATTGAACGCTTCATCAGAAACCTCTTTCAATCGCATGCATTAAATTACACATTGCCAGGAATAAGCAAATATGATTGGATGCTGGAGTTGTAATGACTCGAGTCAATGACTCGACTCGAGTTTGACTCGAGTCACACAACTTGGCGACTCGACTTGAGTCCCAAATGATCGATTGACTCGACTCGAGTCACTGCGAGCAAACGACTCGACTAGAGCCCCTCATCAGATGACTATGTACGGCTTTCAAAAAATAATATTTTTCTATGATCAGTTCAGTTTTGGATGTTGCAATTTGGTTTTGATGTCGGTGTTAAATTATCCCAGACAGTTTATCTTCATAATTAAGTGGCGCCTTGTGTTCCTTCTTGTATTCCGTCATTTATTACATGGTGATCGTGTGTTATCAGTGACTCGAATTAACTTAAGCATAAAGTTGACTTGGTTCGACTTGACTCGAGAAAACACTGTGACTCGAATCGACCTTCTTGACCTAATGACTCGACTCGACCCGAGTTACTTCCTTAAAATGACTTGACTCAACTTGAGTCCCAAGATTCAGTGACTCGTTACAACTCTGGTGGATGTACAGAAATACAAAGTAGATTGTGTATCATTAATCATTTGTTGGCCTTTACCTTTGTGATTGGTAGATATTGATGGTGCAGTCTTTTGGGTTGTTGATGGGTACGTGTCCAGAGCCAGATATCTGTTGCATTAAAGGTAGGGTCTAGATCATTTGTCATTTTGCATTTTATTTCGAACACCAAAAGTTCTCAAATTCTAAGATGGGTGTTTAAAAACTAACCTGATGAAGCTCTGTGAATACGATCTCGGTTTCAATTCAAAAGTTGCCGAGTCATGTTTTGAATTGCGCCCAAAATCAGCATCGATCCAGGGCACATTCTCATTCAGGTACTGAGCTGACGAATAAATAGCAACCGCGCGCCTGTGTGCCCCGTGTCAACTCTTGTGTGTGCACCCATTCAGGGATTCGCCAAATTATGAACCAAAGTAACGGAAATTTCCAAAAATGTGACACTTGACGCATCATGTTTTATTGTTTTCTTCACAATGACAGCATGCCAGAAAGAAAAATGTCACTAGTTTGCTATCTTTAAACCAAGTAAGGTTTTCAACAATAATTTTGTCAGTTTACCTTTTGGATAGCTGCAATAATTGGCATTTTATGGTATAAATATGCGCCATCTTGTTTGCGGGGCAAAAAGAACATAGGTTGCTAGATGCGGGCGCATTTTGGAATGAACGCATAATGACTTGGAAGCACCAAACTTTTTCATTGACGATACGTACAAAGCAATGCGTGTAAAATTGCCCCGCGGGCAAGATGGCGCATATTACCGTGAAACACCTGATTGAGCTACATGTACATGTACCAGTACCTTTAAAGCTGACTGTCACCATTGATTGACAGAGCTCTGCAAATGGTATCATGCCTGAAAAATGGGAATAAAATGTCTGCCATTACACAACGTCAAATCCCCTTTGACCATCTGATTGGCGGTCATTGATCACATGACTTCATCCCAACCCAAGACCTGGCCACACCACAAAAACAGAAGTTTCATCCAGTGGTAAATAGAAGTTCCACTGCATGGTCACACTATTGTACTCTATAGACTGGCAATGACTAGTGCACGTCTGTACAATCCGAGGGACTGTGAGTGATCCGAAGGCCGAGGGATATAGGACCCTCTTCTGGTCACTCACAGGCCCGAGGGGGGCATTGACATGCACTAGTGAGTGACCAAATTATGCCACATGAGTTTTATAACATACCTCTGTCCAAAATATAAAATAAGAGTTTTTAATTTGAACTGTTTTAATGCAACAATTAACTCACTCGGAGTTAAACCAACTGGTTCTTTTCAGAACCACACAACTCACAAAGATATCATTCCCATGGTGTTGCAAACCTCCCATTCATTGATCATGTCCACAATGCTCACCATGCAAACCTACGGTCTCATTTGACTCATAAGCAATTCAACAATAAGCAATTAACGCAATACATGAAAGTTGAAACAGAGGGTAATGTAACCAGTCAAAACATTTGAATATAGTGCCCTGTCGGGCACTATACTCTGGAAATTACGCATACGTGATGTCTTGATGCGCGTCTAGTTCCGCTGACGCAAATGTCATGCACTAGTCTATATTAGTGAACCACACATGGCTGTGTTTCAGCCATCCATGATAAAGAACCAGCAAGAGATGTGTTATAATGATTAGACAAAATTAGGCACCATGGGCTGACAGACCTGTTTTTTTTTCGGTCAAAAATTTTGGGAAACACGCGGCATGTATCACTTATACAAATCGTGTGATCTCAAAATGAACTCTTTAACACAGAAAATACATACACAGTCAAGCTAGATCAATTCTGTAAATTAACTTGCAAAAATGTTCTTTCTCCATTGGTGTTTTCTTGGCATTTTTACGATGTCGAATCCGACCAGTTGACAGTGGCCTGCACTGCTAGCACGCTGTCGGTAGCATAGCTATTGACTGGTTACTGCATTTTCATCATGTCTTCTAAATTGGCCCCTGCGCGGCGGGAACCAGCCATCGCGACATGATTATAGTCACCGTGACGTCAAATTGCAAAGTAATTATATCGCGAAGGTTTCTTTTGAAAAAAAAAGGGAATGTAAGTAAGAAAACAAATAGATACAAGCATTTTTTGATGCAAAAGGGTTGTTGAGAGGTATTTTGTGAAGACAGAAAAGACAAGATTATATTTTTATTTATTCAATCTTTTTTTCTTTTTTTTTGGAATTGCCGATAAAATTTTTACGGTCGCAGCCTAGATAGGGTCGGTCGGGTAACGGGAAGCAGAACTATTTTCTTTTGTGGCCTTATTACTATACCTCATAAATATTCATCAGGTAACTGCAGCATTTCATTGGTCAATTCCAGCAACTCAACCATGTGAAAGTTTTTACTATTTCCCTGCGTGTTTGTGCGTGCGTATAAACCAGGGAGGTACTATCACATACCTGGATCGCAGCCTTATATTTGTTCCAGAACTGTGTTATCTCTTTACCAACGATGCATATACGCTTTACATGCGTACCGTGGAGATCACAGTACAAGTAAGGAAAGTTGTGCCAGTCTGTTACATGTACATATGACATACATTAAAATGGTGACCGGTGGGGCTGACTTATTATGACGACTTATGTGGCGGCCGCCACTTATTTTCTGGCAGCCGCCACATATAAGTGGCGGCCGCTGTACAAAAAGATATTTTCACACGCACCAAAAAAATATATTTACACTCATTGAGTGGCACTATCCGTCTTCCGTATGTGCGCGTCCCTCAGTTGCAGATGCTTTTCCCTGTGACGCTTTTTGAACCGCCATGACGTGCTTAAGTTGTTTGCGTATCTTCTACTTGCGCGTTGCATTTAGAGTACACTTTAAAATTCAATCCATCTATTTTGATTGTATTCTACGAACACGCACATAAAATAAAAATGTCTGCGTCCAGAGCGGCTTCAAAGCGTCTCCATGCGCAAGAATGAGGAGTTAGCGCTCTAGTAATTTAATATAGCTCTATGCACTAGGCTTATACTCTGGAAATTACGCGCGCGCAATGTCTCGAAGCGCGTCTAGCATGTCTAGTTCACGCTGACGCAAGTTCATACACTAGCCTATAGATCTTAGTGAATCACACGTGACCGCGTTTCAGCCAACCAGGATAAAGAACAAGCAGGAGGTGTTGTATAGCCATGTTCATGGGTCCAGTCATGGCTGTGTTGTGGTTTATCATGTTTATTGTGTGCTTGTGCCGATCAGCCAATCAGATTATTCCTCAATTATTCGACATGTTCGAAGAATAATCTGATTGGCTGATCGGCACAAGCACACAATACAGCCGTGCATGACAGTTCAGTGGCACTGGACAGTTTTTTTGAAGAAGCCACCGAAATCATCAACATTTTTCATATTTTAGTAATTTCTATTCTGTTTCAAGTCGATCATTGGCTTCGTGAATGACATGACTGAGTGCAAACTATGACGTATGTTTAATGGAATCTGGGTTGGGATACTACAAAATAATAGGAAAAAAATAACCATTTTGTGGAGGCCATCTTTTTAGGGTCTCTTACAATCTCACATAAATTTAAGACGTAGTTTTGTCTCCAGCGTTACATGTGAATTCCTGATGAGCATGTCAGCTGGAGCTACATGTACTTAAGCTAGGCCAGCCCCAAGAAAGAGCTACTGACAGGATTGAGGTCGTGTTTTTACGGGCCCCCCAGCTTTAGCTTAGCCCCATAAATGTGGCCAATTTACTGGACAACCTCCGTCAATATAGGCCACACCTGCATAATATACCCAAACATTAAGGACTTTGTAATAATTGGATTTTTGCATTCAAACTTTGTTTGTAGTTTATTTCATCCTCTTAAGCAATCTGCAATGGAAAAGAAGTATCTGCTTGCTCAGACGTCTACTTTTCGTGTAATTTCCAGGCTCATTTGCACTCGTTTTTATATCTTTAGTCAAGGCACACGTGGCAACCCAGACCTGCCACGTCCACTCCGTGGTCTTTTTTTGTGCTAGCATTGGACCTTACGTGTGCATTGCGCGTGATCTTTTCGATGTTGGAATTTAGATACAAACGTGTGCAAACAAGCTTGGAAATTACATGCAAAGTAGACATCTGAGAAAGCAGATACTTCTTTTGCATTGCTAGTAAGGGTGTGTGTGCTTCTAACACGTAAATAAACTACAAAGTCTACTCTCAGCTCAGTCTTTTATAGTTTCTACTAAATTAGAGTCAAGGGTGTTTTTTATCATTCAAAAATCGGACTTCAGAAAGAATTTCCATACCTGGACATCACTTGACTTTAGAAAAAATTCTAATTGTTTTCTTAATAGGAAATGCTTCAATATTTTCCTAGCCCAGGTGGACTCCCTTATTACCGCAGTCGTAATAATCACATTCATCCCAATCCACACTCCACAGACTGGCCACTTGCACAAAAACAGAAGTTTAATGCAGTGGTAAATTTAGTTCCACTGCACGGTCACACTATTTATTACACTGGTCAGTTTATTGTATAGGCATTGCGAAGTCTTTAAAAAATGTTTGTACTTGATGTGACGTGCAGGAAATAATGCATGAGGGCATAAGGCATGCAGTCTTCAAAGTACGCATCATGTAGGCCCTTCAGGCTGGAGCACGGCCTGTGAGACTCTTCAGTGTTTGTCTTCAGTTACACCCTCTGAGTTTGCAAACTGTTAAGGTTTTTGCTGGCTTATTTCAGGTTCCTCATAAGACGGCTTAACCGAACCGACCTGACCCAAAAATCGTAAAGGCAAACCAAAACCAAGCCAAGCTGACCCGACTGAAATGATGGGAAAACCGACCGACCAAATCCGAACCGAAGTCGCTTTGGGGACGGGTCGGTTTCTGTTTTATGTCAGGTTTGCACAACATAAAGGCATCCCTAAGTTTACTTTGGTACATGTAGCACAATTAAGCTATGTGCATTGGTCAAGGACAATAAATTATGGTAACAGCAATTGTTCAGGTCCCACCAACACTAACCAATCACAATTGTTCTACTTGGCCTTATACTTGTACATGTACTCGTAACTGAGTACCCCAAAATTGTTTCTTGTTTTTATTTCTAAAGTACATGTACATTTCTTTTTGGAAAGAATGTCCCTTCAGTAGTCTGGTTGCTTGCCCTGAGAAAATGTGTAGAAACAGAGATGCTAGGTACTAGATGTTTCTTTTGACACAGTTAATTGATGCAGCTGCAGTACTAAAGGGATGTTGGACTGGTTCCGTGTGCCAGTCTATTTTCTTGTATTGCATATGTGCGTTTCCACTATCTTAAGGTTTGGGATTATCATACACTGTATTGAGTCCCAAATCCATGAAATCTTCAGACTACGATGGGTGGGCCAATGCAGCTGAAGTTTGGAAAATCTATACATATGTTGGGATGGTCCCAACTTAAGCTACACTGTGTTAAACTATCCTTAGATTTGGGATTATCATACACAGTATTAAGAGTCCCAAATGTTCAGACTACGATGATGGGTACAGATTAAGTTTTAGCCGCAATTCCTTTTTTTTTAATCTGTTCTTTTTTCTGGCTTAAAAAAAAAAAAAACTGGAAAAAGAGAAGAAAAGCTGTGGAAATGCGTTGGTTTTTGATGTTTACCTCGTTAGCGCTCTCGAGTTGAGTACAGGCCTTGGGCACGCATGGCACAACGTTGTTCTTTGAAGTCAGGTACTCTTAAAAACAAGTCTTTTGTTGTTGCTGAGCCTGCATGCGATACAGGCGGCCAACGTACTTGCACTCAGTATACAATGGCGCACGCGTCGAAATCAAGTCTATCATTTCAGTTATCCGTGGTTTCCGAGCGCAGTGATATACATGTATGTGAATAAAAAAACCACCGGGTACCAACCATGTTTTCGTCACGTCATGTACACTGTACACTGACAGTGTTGTGGAATGGTGCATGTTTCGTCTAGAAAACGTTGGAAATTCGGGTTGGCCGAATACAAAATAGGAATATGGAAAAATTCAAAGTGATTGAACGAACCGACAGCTTAAAGTTAAAGGCCACAGAAGCAAAAATAAAAAATAAATGGAACTGGGTTTAGCTACAAGAGAAAGATGACAACAGGGACTTTGTGTCAGAGTGGCTTTTTCACAAAAAAAATATAATTCCGTTTTTTCCAAGCAGCTGTTCCGGTTTTTTTCAATCAGACCCTGTTCCCTGTTTTTTTTTCAAGCAGACCCTGTAGCATCTCTGGTTGGGACCATCCCAACATATGTTGGGACCAATAGTCAAATTGGGGTGTAACATATGTGAATTAAGCCTGTCAAAAAACAAACATTTTTTAAAGCTTATCACAATCAAGAGAATTTTTGTGAATCCCTTTTGAGACATGTGTTTCACTACCCATGAACATGAATATAATGCCAATACTGGCCAATCAAGTTGTCAAGCTCCATGCTTCTACTGTGACCAATTTTGTTGTTCCACTGAGCCCGATGACTGGAACCTGGAAATAAATTTTGAGATTATTTCTTCTTTTATTTTCAAAGTTTAAAAACTTTTAAAGTGTATGTACCAATTGTTTCTCATAATCCACGCTTTAATTTGTTAATAGATGAATTATACAATGATCAATTTTGAAATACTTTAAAGCATGACTGGCTCACTGCCCCAATTGGTTTGTGCATAAACTGTATTGGTTTTCTGTACCCATGGTGCAATGCGAATGTCAATCAGGTTTATTGAGAGTCCCAAATGCTCAGACTATAGGCTTGCCCTGCCATTTGCCTTGTCAGTGGTCGTGGGTGCGTTCACAAATCTGTTAAAATATTCCAAAGTTAATCCACCAAAGAATGAAACGTGACACAGTTTTTCCTTAATCATTGAAAAACAGGACTTCCAATTGTGGGCCGGTGATCCAAAGAACCATGGATGCACAATCTGAAGCAGCCTGCCAACGGCCTGATGACCCTACCACGATGCAACGATCTGAAGCAGCCAGCGATCAACCTGATGTTCCTACCACAATGCAACAATCTGCAGCAGCCTACTAACAGACTGATGTCCTCACCACAATGCAACAATCTGAAGCAGCCTACCAATGGCCTGATGTCCCTACCACGATGCAACAATCTGCAGCAGCCAGCGAAGAAACTGATGTCCCTACCACGATGCAACGATCTGAAGCAGCCTACCAACAGACTGATGTCCCCACCATAATGCAACAACCTGAAGCAGCCTACCAATGGACTGATGACGTCCCTTCCATGATCGAACAATCTGCAGCAGCCAGCCAACGGACTGATGACATCCTTCCCATGATGCAACAATCTGCAGCAGCCTACCAACGGACTGATGACATCCTTCCCATGATGTTACAATCTGCAGCAGCCTACCAACGGACTGATGACATCCTTCCCATGATGCAACAATCTGCAGCAGCCTACCAACGGACTGATGACATCCTTCCCATGATGCAACAATCTGCAGCAGCCTACCAACGGACTGATGACATCCTTCCCATGATGCAACAATCTGCAGCAGCCTACCAACGGACTGATGACGTCCCTTCCATGATGCAGCAATCTGCAGCAGCCTACCAATGGACTGATGACATCCCTTCCATGATCCAACAATCTGCAGCAGCCTACCAACAGACTGATGTCCCTTCCATGATCCAACAATCTGCAGCAGCCTACCAATGGACTGATGACATCCTTCCCATGATGCAACAATCTGCAGCAGCCTACCAACGGACTGATGACATCCTTCCCATGATGCAACAATCTGCAGCAGCCTACCAACGGATTTATACCCCTACCACTATGCAACAGGAGGCTCAGGTACCTGCTGCATTAGGTAAGTACGCATCACAGGGTGAGTAAAAAAAAGAAACCCAAATGGTGTCTTTCCAGATCTAGGATATGAAAACCTAATTATTAAGTGTTTATTTAGTGATAGGACCATTCAAATTGCTCATGTACTTTTCCAGGTTTAGGAATTTTGAAGGCAAACACCATTTTTTAAGCTTTTCCACAGATCACAAAGGTTAGTGATATTTTAGCAAAACGAAAACTATTCCCATATCAATTAAACACATCAGAACATTCTCATAACCATGGTAACTGGCACTAATCATAACATTTATTGAGTGTTGAAACATACATGTATGAGTTATCGACAAGAAATATCGTACAAATACTGTTCAAATCATTTTTGCGAATCAGTATTTGTGGCGTTTGGCTGTACATGTACATGTTTATCAGAAGTTGGCTGGCAAATTTTGCATTTTGAAAATTTCAACATTTTCGGCAAAAATAAACCTGGCGCGAAGTGCTTAAAATATGAGGCTTTATACTGTCAATAGTTTATTGTTTTGCCCTAGCTGCCTTCTTCTTGGCTACCCCAGAGACTTATGGGATTAATTATTCTGATATCATTTTCAGGGTGCGACATATGGTTTCATTTTTAATACTGAAATATCACATGCCAAATGTGATTCATGGACAAGGTTAAAAACGGTGTTTGTCTTCAAAACTGCAAAAGTGCATGAGCAATTTGAATGTTTCTTTCACTAACAGAAAGCTTAGTAATTTAGCTTTCATATCCTAGATCTGGAAAGTGCTACATGCACAACTTCTTCAAAAAAAAACATGTCTCCGGTTTCTGGTATGCGCGCGCGTCGCCGTAGCCATGCGCGTCGGAAAAATGAAAACGTTTTTTTCAATGAAAGATGATGTCTCAAAACCGCCAAACTCACTGGTTTGACTGGAATCCTGCTGCTGCACAATTTTAACGTGTTTTTAGATTGGGTTATGGTCGAGAATAAGCTTTATGTGGCCTCTCTGGACTCCCATATATTTGCACTAAGTTTAGTCGGGCACTATTTGCAGTCATCAGCCGACATTTGAAGCAAAAAAATCAGGTAAAAAAAAAAAAAAAAGCCGTGTCGCCGCACCACTTTTTGGGCAAGCTCCATACCAGAAACCGGAGACTTTTTTTTTTGGCATTTGGGTTTCTTTTTTTTTACTCGCCCTGTAGTTGCTTGTAGTCGGTTTTTTACCTTTAGTGGAGGGGCATTTACCACCCTCCCCCTCCCCACCTCACCCGAAGATTTAAGACATGCATGTACTGGTAGATGTTGCCTGGTATTTTGGTACTTTTTTGTCTATTAATTGTCAGATTGAATACAAAATGTTTTTCTTCTATGAAAGGTACAGAGCCCCTAAAGGGACATATAGTATTATTTTTTGTTATCTTGTGCACACGAAATAATATCTCATGCGCACGACATAATTATATATAAGGAGCTAGTTGGCTGCACGCGGTGTGCACAAAATTAGACGACTTTGTTTGTAACAAAAGCAGCGTGTTTATTTTGGAGGGGGCGTAATCATAAATGCAGCCACTATGTTACATGTTAAGTCAGATAGATGGGGATTTTTGATGAATGTGAGACTGCCTTTTTGAGAGAGAGAAGTGTTTTATAGCTAAAAATTCATAAGATGGAATTTGCCCCTCCCCCGGGATTTATACGTCGGTAAAGGGCCAAACCTACTTATGTTTTATAGCTAAGAAAACAGCGAGGAAGAATTGGTATATGTGCAGGTAAACTTGGGGAATAATCAATTGATAAAAATTGCTGCCGACACGTGATCGTGAATTAAAGTTATCAGCTGACCTTGTACCGATACATTGCGCACAAAGGCCTCAGCACAAACAATGTAACATTGCCAAGCCACAATTGCCATGATCTAGCTTTTGCAGATCTGTTCAATTCTGTCAAATTTGCAAAAGCGTAAAAATGACTCTAAGATAATTTCTTGAGCTGAAGGCTAAAAAACTATGCCTTATGGTAAACACCTATCAGACAATCAGCTGTCCAACATTGAACTGATTGTTCTAGGTGGGGACCTAGGCTTATTCCCATCCTTAGAAAACCTTAAAGGTCTACCATCCTTCGCCATATTGCCACCAGTGGCTAGGCCAGGATTTTGTCAGTGGGTTATTAGGGGCACCATCAGTTTATGAGGGGGCACCAAGGACAGACCCAACAACATTTCCCCCAAATGTCCATGCCACCACAAGGGCTTTCAAGTTTGAAAAGGGGAGGGGGGGGGGGGCTCTTTAACGATAGAGGGCACTCTTTTTTCCTATTAATTTGTTGACTTTTCATACAGCAGTATTGCTCAGGGAAGACAAAAATAGTAATCTACATTCATCTTCGGGGTAATAACTCACAAAATCTTTTAAAAATACACTTACTTTGGCAAGCTGGAAATCTCAGTTTTTCTGTGAGGGCACCGGGGGAGGGGGGGGGGGGGTGGCACTGGGAATTTGTCCCAGGCCCCCTTGGCTACGCCACTGATTCCCCGCTCATCAGCAAAAATGAGACTCTGTTTAAAATTGGCAGGGAGAGTAACCAGTCTAATTGACATCCATTCAACTTGCTGATGCTGATAACAAATCCCAATGTCCTTATATATCATTTAAATCAACTTAAATTCACGTCGGCAATTTTCTTGGAATTTTCTAACAATAAAACTAACATCAATTGATGATTCTCTGAAGTTTGCGTGCACATACCGGTTCTTCCTCTATTTACTTAGCATAAAACACTAATCTTTCTCAACAAAGGCCAAGTATGACAAAATTAATCATGATAGCGCCCCCCCCCCCAAAAAAAAAATCCATGTCCTAACTGACTTGACATGTAACGTATAGTACATGCATTATTACACCCCCTCCCAATAAACACGTTGTTTTTGTTACACACAAACTCGTCCGATTTTGTTCATGCTGCACATGCAGCTAGCTCCTTATGTATAATTGTCTCGTGCACATAACATAATTATATCGTGTGGACAAGATAAACAAAAAAAAATGAACTGTCCCTATTTTAATAGGGGCTCCGTAGAAAGGCAATGTTTCTGAGTACAGACGACAAATAGAGATGGAATTGAGTGGAGGCATCATTTTGTATTGATATTTCTATTCCTGCTTCTGATTGTAGATTCCCCACAACGAAGTGGAACCATCGGAAACAGCGTCACAATCAGTGGCAGCAACAATCCTATCATTGCTGGTTCAAGTGGAGTTAATATCAATTACAACTTCCCGTTGCAGGGACCAGGTAAATATAATCTTGTTCTTTAAGATGAAAGTAATTTGATATTAAATTTTTAAAAAAAATGGGGGGGGGGGGGGGAGATGATACTACATAAACATGGACACCGATTGTCAGTTCCATGAGCTAGAAAGTCACTAATTTTCTTTGGTACAACTAGAAGCCAGGTCAAAATACGGTGGACACAATTGGAGGGCACTATTTATGGTTAAGTCTTGTAATTTGTTGAATAATTAAGTTTTTAAATAGCGCCCATATGTGTGCCACATTTGAAAAAGGATAGATCTTAGTCCCACATTAAAGTTGCATAACATTTTTCAGGCTTTCAAGTATTTCTACTTTTCCTACTTTTTCCTAGTTTTGTTTACCTTGCTCCGACTTTTTCCCCACTTTTTATCCCTCAACTCCGAAAAATGACATCTCACTGAATATTTTTTTCATGACAGTGATACACACAATTATCCTTCTCATATTTGATTTGATTGAAGATGATGCACATGCATCACACCACTCTGGAGCGGTGTGTTAATTGCCTACGTGCACAGTGGGCGGGGCTTACTGGATCCAACATGCGAACAGATGTATGCGTATCTATATGACGCTCACTGTAACATGCAGTGTGGCATTGGAGAGGAGCACATGTTAATTGCCTACATGCACAGTGGGCGGGGCTTACTGGATCCAACATGCGTGCAGACGCGTATGATGCACGTGGCTGTAACATGTAGTGTGGCATTGGAGAGGAGCACATGTTAATTGCCTAAGATTCATGCATCAGTGAACGGGAAGTTATTTCAATCCTGTCAATATTTATCCTCCCAAGCTTTAACCAACAAGTTTTTAGAGCTTTAAATTTTTGCATACAATGAGCCAATATTTCAGCTCTAAATGGTACTTTCTACAGACAAGGAGCCAATTTATTGCTTGGATGCCACAATGCATTGCATGATTAAGTCATTCAACTCTATGGTCATTTCAACATTGTAGGATGCAGCGCCCCCAAAAAGATGAAGCTTGACAGTCCAGCCCAAGATCCTGCTGATTGCTGTGAAGATGCCCTGAAGTCATACTACAGGAGGAAAGGTAGCTTTGTTAAGTTGATTCCATGGGTGGGTGATGACAGGAAACACATAAAGAAAATTTACACAGAATTACAGTTAATACTTGGTAAGGACAGAGTCAAGCTGGCATCATATGACGATATATTACAACGTGAGACAGAAGAGGGAGATCTGATCCTTATAGCTGTTTTAACTGGGTTAGCTGGTAGAGGAAAGACCACACTTTTTAACAAAATTGCATATGATTGGGCAGTTGGTTCTAGTCGGGTACTACGGAAGTACAAACTTGTCTTCCTGTTGAAAATGCACGCACTGGAGCAGAGTTCAGATCTTGTCGATGCAGTTTTTGACCAACTCTTGGCTAAAGATGTAAGTATTGAAAGAGGTACCCTTGACATGTTTATCAAGAACAGTCCTGGAAAAGTCCTTGTTTTACTAGATGGCTTTGATGAGCTCATGACCACCACCTTGTGTGATTCTTCATTTGGTTCCATCCTGGAGATCCTTAATGGAAAGAAGTTGAGGGGTTGTACTGTACTTGTAAGCACCCGCCCCTCACATGTTGACAGACTTGTATCAGAGAAACTGGTTCAGGACCCATTCACACATGTCGAGGTCATGGGTTTCAGTTGGAAAAATGTCACCGAGTATGTTAATAATTTTTTTGTTGGTGAACCTGACAAGGCCAAGGGGCTTCTTGAAAAGATTAAATTGTCAGGCCTTTTGATTGACTTAGCTGCGAGCCCAATGCTTCTTCTTGTGATGTGTGTACTATGGCAAGAAAAGTGTACACTCCCAGAAACAATGTCACGTCTGTATCATGATGGATTTTCATATATCTTCCGAAGAAAAGGATTGGACTCACAAGATGAAGCAGCAAAAGTTGTGATTGAAATTGGCAAGGTTGCGTTGCATGGTCTTCTTTCTCCAGATCAGTCACTCTCTTTCAAAGAAAGTGACTTTGAGCCGAGTGTGCTTGAGCTGGCTCTGAAAGCAGGTATTCTGACCAGCCAGAGAGTCCGCAAGAGACTGCAGAGTCACAACAGTGTTCAGTTTTTTCACAAGACATTCCAGGAGTTCTCTGCTGCTGCTTACTTGCAGAGCTTGTTAGAAGCAGACCCAGAGGAATTTCAGAAGATTTTGAATGAAATTATGTCAAAGGGTGCAAAGAGGTTTGAGTATCTTCTGCGCTTTTGTTGTGGTGACAATGAGGCATGTACATATGAGATAATGAAGGTATTTCAGGTGAGGTGTCAGGAGGACTTGTCATTCGAATCAGAGATGGGTCAGTTGGCACTTCATTGTTTCTTTGAAGGTCAGTCTGAAAGTTTGCCTCCAGAGGAATTCATACATTCATTCATAACTGATAATATTTGCATTGATGGATTTAACTGGGACAGGGATTGTCTGAACTCAGTCATATACTTTCTGAAAAGTGTTGCTGAACAGACAAAAAACAGTGGCAACACATACCTTGCTAAGGTAAAGGAATTATTTGTACTCGCTGATAAATGGACATGGTTTATTGAGAAGTTAGCTGTCACCATGTGTGCAATGACAAACCTTAATGCTGTAGTTTTTTCGTTTTGCCTGTATTTGACTGGTAGCAACATGGCAGATATTGCTAAGTCGTTCAGGGATCTAACCAACTTGCGTGAATTTTATATTCATTGTAGTGACGAGCTGCGTGGTACAGCAGCATTATGGTGCATGCATTTGAAGCAGTTGAAATCTCTCAAGAAGCTGCACTTGAGTGCCTGCAAATTGAATGGCCAGGACATAACACTTATTGCTGAGTCACTTATTGATTTACCTAACTTCAGTGAATTGATCCTTTTTGGTAATAACCTGGGTGGAACAGTAGCATTATGGTGCATGCATCTAAAGCAGATGAGGACCCTCACAAAGCTGAACTTGAGTGGCTGCTCATTGAATTTACAGGACATCAAACATGTTGGGGAGTCAGTCAGGGATCTACCCAACTTGGTTGAATTGAAAGTTTCATATCATGACCCGAGTGGCACAGCAGCATTACGGTGCATGCAATTAAAGCAGCTGAAGACCCTTACAAAGCTGGGCTTGTGTAAATGCTTTGTGAATGGACAGGACATCAAACATGTTGCTGAGTCACTTCCCAACTTGGTTGAATTGGATCTTTCTGATAATGAGCTGTGTGGTACAGCAACATTGTGGTGCATACAATTAAAGCAGCTGAAGACCCTTACAAAGTTGGGCTTGCGTAGATGCTCACTGAATGGACAGGACATGAAACATATTGCTGACTCACTCAGGGAACTTCCCAACTTGGGAGAATTGGATCTTTCTCAAAATTATCACCTGTGTGGTACAGCAGCATTGTGGTGCATGCATTTGAAGCAGTTCAAGTCCCTCAGGAAGCTGGACTTGGGTTACTGCTCATTGAATGGACAGGACATCGAACATGTTGCTGAGTCACTCAGGGATCTGCCCAACTTCAGTGAATTGGATCTTTCTGGGATTAACCTGGGTGGTACAGCAGCATTATGGTGCAAGCATTTAAAGCAGTTGAAGTCCCTTACAAAGGTGAGCTTGAGTGAATGCTCATTGAATGGACAGGACCTCAAACATGTTGCTGAGTCACTCAGGGATCTACCCAACTTGGTTGAATTGGTTCTTTTGGGTAATAAACTGGGTGGTACAGCAGCATTGTGGTGCATGGAGGTAAAGCAGCTGCTGCACCTTCAGAGGCTGAACCTCAGATACTGTGACCTGACAGAGGATGACAAGAACCATATTTATGAGTCACTCAGTGACCTAAGGAAGAATGGATTAGACCTTGACATGCGGTATTAATAGTAATAATTGCTGTGGGAAGGAATGCATGTAATTTTAACTGCCCATTCATTGCACCATCAAAAGCATGTGAATGTCACTAAGTTAACCTATATGAGTAACAATATCTTCCACATACTTTGGTTTTGAATAATATAAACTATGCCCAAGCTTTTTCATAAGCTTTTTTTTTTGTTAGGCAGTTAGAGGGAAGATCTAAAACCTAGCTAGAAGCAAAATTGTAACAGGAGTGATTTGAGTTAAGCAAGAGATTTCCTCAGTGGCATACATGTGGCTCCTTCATGGCAATTAATTGGAACCGTTCTTTCTATTAAGCTGCACATCACTGCACATTGACAGTTAAAGATGTGAAGCATAGATGACATTGTAGTAGGTGTGGCACTGATGGGCAGGACTTCTGCCTAAATTGGTCGGACTGCAGAATCTTTACTTTCATTAACACAAGACATTGGTGACTCAGCAACATCATGCAAGTCAAGTACACATCTATCAGTCAACTGTTTAATGTTGTCGCCCATTTCAAAGCTGGAAAGGTGAATTTCTGATTGTAACATTCTGTTATTAATCTGACATTGTCTTCATGAGGTGATTTTGCATTTTAAAAACCAGGGTCTTTTCAAACCAGGATTTTGTTGCTTTTATTTTACACATCCCACTGTAACATACAAGTGTTGCCTGTTGTGACGGGGTCCATGGTTTTGTACACCCGAGAGTCGCCTCGGATTCCATTTGCACCCGAGGGTGTACAAAACCCATGGAACGCAGGCAACAATTGTTTTGTTATACCACGGTAATAGATTCCAGCCGTCTGAAATTGTGGGTTTCCTCCAGTTGCCGTGCAGTAATCACGGAAGTATTGAAAAGATCCGCGATTACTGCACTGTGAATATTCACACAGAATATTTTGTTCATTGCAGGAACACAAATTAATTTACCTTTTCCAGAATAGACCAATCCATCAATCCCTGCCCCGTTATGTACCAATCACAGCTGCGACCATAGTCTATGTGCGTCCATCCGACATAATGCGCGCATTAATCTGACATGCGCACGCACTGTCTGACGCCTCTTACCCGGGCTGTGTCTATTATACAAGGCGGAAACAACATACAGTGAGAACGATCAAGGTATCACTCATGTGACACGGGTATAGTCCCCTGACACAGTACATGTGTGTGTTTATGGTACATCACGTGCTCGGTTCTCGACCAATTAAAAATCACAATCTATTACCGTGGTATAACAATATCTGGTTAATCCCTCCAGGCAATATGCAACACTACAGGTGGTCAGTCCAGTGCTTGGACACAAGTATACACCATGCATGCACACAACACAGGGACACAATCATTTAGGAATCTGTTGTTCATGCACCATTTTCTTTGATTCAAAAAATAATACATGGTTTCATTACTAGACATAAACAAATTTTACACTGGATGTTACATTTATTGAAATTCTGTGTGCATTTAGGTCAATCAAGAAGGATTGATGTCAATCAGTCAAGTGATGATAATTGTTTCCTGCTGGTTGTGGCTGGTCAACTGTAATAATCAACCCCAATGTGATTTCAAGTTGAGTTAAGAGCTTGGTGAAATCCTGGTACCAAAAACGAATAATATACTTGGGTATTTTCTTAAAAGAAGGTTTCACAACATGGGGAAGATGTCAGTTTGTGAAGGGATGTTTCCTTTTACATGTCTCTGAGTGTTTCCTATACTTTCTGTTTCCCTGAGGGACGGGCGGGACCGGAGTTCCAACCGTCTACCGCCCTCTAACTTAACATGTTGTGTTATAAAATCACCAGCTGTGATGAGGGAATCTTTCATTGAAGTTATCATTTGAGTGTTTCTTACACTTTGTGTTTCACATGGGAAAGTGAGTTCCAGTCATCTACCACCCATTGACTGACACACACTTCCTATCAGCTTTGAGGGATTATTTCTGTGAACATGCATTGGCGTGTTTATGATGATTTGTGTTTCCCCTGGGGGAGTGAGTCCCAGTCATCTACCGCCCTGTGACTGAACACATTCTGCCTATCAGCTGTGAGGGGATCTTTCCTTGAACATGCCTCTGTCTATCTCTGCTGGTTTGTGTTTCTCCTAAGGGAGTGAGTTCACCCTCTGACAACACATAGTGCCTATCAGCTCTCGCTGTTTCTTCTGCTGTGTTTCTTTCCTGTACTACCTCTCATACATTTGAAGATCTTGCACTGACTCCAAGCCAATTCAATCACCCTTATCAACTGAAAGTCAACATTCCTTTGTCCCCTTAATGTCTCCCCGCCCCATACAGAAAGTCCCTTGGCCTTGTCAGCTTTGAACCCTTAGCTGCATCAACTGACTTGAACTGTCTGCTCAGATTAATCATTACAGTCAAATTTGGACCTTCCCACATTGATGGGGAAATATCCAGCACAAAGTGCTGGTTAGTGGTGACATTTTTTGAGTCTCATTGTCAAATTCTGTAAAAACAAGTAAAGATCTGCCCAAGAAAATGATTTCTGTATTGGTTAGTTTAACTGCACTTTGCACATTGTACCAAGGGGCTTACGAACAATGTTGAAATTTGTTCAAATGCTAGTTACCCAGGATATTTTTCAGAGAGGGAGATATTTGCAAGAACTGTCTGTAGTCTGTGAATAATGAGGATCCTTATCTCTGTATTCCAGTAACTTGACTGTGACAGATGTAACAGTTGTAATTACATGTAGTGTGGTCATTACTCTATGGTATGATGATTGGGAATAACATGTACATGTAGAAATACAACCAGCCATTCTCATTAACTGTAATAATTGTACATTACATGATAAATTGTTTGTAAATATGCAGAGGTAATTTATATTTTTATATTTTTGTTATTTTTGTATCACTTGTTAAATGAATATTGTTGCAAATTGCCTACTGACCTGATTGACCTGCAATGTACAATCATTTCTGTAAACATTTCTGAAATACCTGTGTTTGTAAGTATTAATATTCGTTGTCTGTTTCGCCAGTGCACTTTTCTTATGAGTTTTACTGTGCTGAACATTATTTAATAATTTGTAATGTATGCAGGGCCCCATGGAAGTTTTTTTACAACTGTTCCAGGCACACCCTGGGTATAAAGAAAAGGAATAAATAAATAAAAGAAATCAAGTGAGATGGCTTGACTTTTCAATCCTAGTAGGGTCTGTCTCAGATGCAAACAAAACTATTATTTGATATTGCTCATCTGAAGATTGGGCAAAGTGAGCCAGATTGTTCTATTTTTATAACTTCTATTTTGTATTAATATATAGTCTGATGTACTTTTTTATAACAGCCAACTTGCCTTGCTTTTGTACCAAGTCATAAGAATCATGCAACTTGCCATCATTGGATCCAGTACAACTCAGATTTGTTATCTTTTTAATATCAGGAATCACATATTGCATGATGTACATTGTATAGTGTTTACAATGGGTCAGATGTTTGTTATATCCAGATGAATGTTGCCTTTATTATGCACTGAATGCCCGCATCATTAGCGTAATGCTGACATAGCAGGCTGACATAGTCTAGTGTGGGTTTTTCTCTTTGTCTTGTGTCACTAACAATTGAGCAAAGGGTTTGAGTTAATGATACACAAGGTTTTCAAGCAAATCAATAGAATTCTTTTCCCAGCCATTTTTGGCTGTCAATGTAAATCTCTGACTTTAGAAAAGGCTACACCAAGTAAGGACACAACATACATGTACATGTATGTGAAATTGTCTCATGTATTATTGTAAATTTTCTGTCATTGCGCATGAGACAGCCATCACGGATTTGATCCAATCTTTCAAAATGAGGATTGCATTGCTGCTTTGTTTTAGTTGTCACACTTTGAATATTCATAAAGGTTTGGAAATGATAACTCAAAGGATCCTGATGTTTGGCAGTATTGTTTTATTTCTAAAGGTTGTTTGTTACTTCCTTGCTGCAATACTCCAGAAAGATTTTTAGTGGTAATTTTCCTTCATCTCAAAAGACAGTACTGAAACCTCCTCCTTAACTTACTTTGTATTTATAGATAAGTTTCCAGTGAAAGTAAAGCTTCATGATTATTCCTGGTATGAAGTTATAAAAAAATTAAAATACATTTTTGTTCTTGCATCATGTATTTTGGTTTTTGAACTAAGCTTACATCTTTTAAGTTGCATCTAAAATTGATGGGATTGTTGTTGTATGCCGATGTAGTTAAATAAAGACGCCTTTGTAACTGATTGCTTGTTTGTTAACAGCTGTGTGGGTTTTTTGGGGTTTTTTGTGTCAAGTTCTAAACAGCGCTGGGTGAAACTGTGGGAGAGACAAGTTAAAAGGGGAATTATTTGGTTGAAGAAAAAGATACATTAAAAGTTGCTTGTTGCTGCATATTGCTCAATGTACAGTTTTACTTAATGACCCTCCCCCCCCCCTCTTTATTCAATGAGAATTGGGAGGTATAAACATCATTAATATGAACCCATATTCCTTTCATTTTGCAGGCAAAAAGTTGTAAAGTGATGTTAAGTGGATTTTTTTACGCTTGGTTTGATCAGTTAATATAATGTGAGGGAGACAAATCACATAACACCACAATACAGAGGACCCCAAAGCCCAACCTCGTCCCCAGTGCTTGCTTTATTTCCAACCGCGTTTCCAATAGTAAACCCTGGATAGGAAACTTTCTTTCTGTATCCTGATTGGATACCTCAATTGGCTAGTAATGGATTTTTATCGTGTACTTGGTGCTATTATTCACAACGTGCAGTACGTGTTTTCGTGATCATTCGTCCACGCCTTCTCGAAAATACTAAATTCCTTTCCAATTTGCTCATATTAATATGAAATATGATACTGCATGTTGTCTCGATAAGATCGTAACAGTTTGATTTCAAAAATCGTGTTTTCATAACTCATGCCGTGCTCGCGCTGCTACGAATTGACTCTGTTTTTACCCCAGACACCGCATACAAAAACAAACGCTAACGTGTAACGCATATCCAGGCACCAGAATGTTCCTTATTTGCATACGTGTGCACAAATCTTGCACATGTAAATGATCCAATACCAGGGAGAGAGAGCAGGTAGTGGTGGGCGCGTACTGCTCGACACCCTGGGGACGAGGTTGCCCAAAGCCCTCCTGTTTTGACCCCGCCCAGTCCGAAAGTCCGAAACCAACTTTTTTGAATACCGCCCTCTATTGCACCGAGGTCAATGACCAACACCAGGAAATAAATCTGACGGCTCATCATCAAGCGATCGACAAGATTGGGTCAAGATTCTGAGCTCGCTAAAGAAGGTTGGTAAATTTGTTCTTTTACCACATTTTACTATATTAGTTATATATTTAAAGTGGTAATTATGGTTGGGTATCGCATCGTGACAATTTTGATTCTTTTTAAAGATACAATCATTGATTTTTTAGAGGTTTTTCTTGCCAAAAAAAAGGGACCAACTTCCCAACCTTCAACTTCCCAAGACTAGCCCCATAAATGTGGCCAATTTACTGGACTACCTCCGTAAATAAAGGCCACACCTCCACCATGGGTAAAATTTCCGTACTGGATCACTAGCTTGAGTAACTCTAGCCCCATAAATGTGGCCTATTTACTGGACTGCCTCCGTAAACCATGGAGGAAGGAATTAATTCCTTCCTCCATCATGTCCATGCGTAAACATAGGCCACACATCCACATGTACAAAAATCGTGTCGACTTTGCCAAATTTTGATTTTCACATTTAGGCTTAGTTTGTAGGATTGTTTTGCTTTAGAAGCATACTCACCCTCTTTATAGGCTAGTCAGAAAGTGCTGCCGTTTTCAGATGTCTAATTTTTGTGAAATTTCATGTTGAAATTTTGATACGCAAACGTGTAAAAATGAATCTGGAAATTTCACGAAAAATATACATCTGAAAAAGGCAGCACTTTCTGATTAGCCTATAAAGAGGGTGAGTATGCTTCTAAAGCAAAAAAACCCTACAAACTAAGCCTAAATGTGAAAATCAAAATTTGGCAAAGTCAACACGATTTTTGTACATGTATGTGGATGTGTGGCCTATGTTTAAGGAGGCAGTCCAGTAAATTATAGGCCACATTTATGGGGCTTACGGAGGCAGTCCAGTAAATAGGCCACATTTATGGGGCTAGAGTAACTCCAACTGACATGCTCCATATTCAATGAAAATGGAGCATGTCAGCTGGCGTTACTCAAGCTACTGGATCACCACTTTTTTTCAATTAATTTTCAAGCGCCAAAAGTTGCATCCTTTATGGTTATTCCCTCTACTTTCCCTCCTCCACTCTCACCCTCTCCTTTCCTTTATTTCTATTTATTGTTTTGTGCAACTATAACTTAGTATAACGCGTAAGCTGTAACGTATTATTGTTTCGACTTTTGAACCCACCCCGGCACTAGCCAAATGCTAGTCGAAACAGCGGCGGACTAGTCAAACTAGCCTGATTGGCGAGTCAAAAATGACGGGCTACGGCAAAGATGAAAAGACAGGAAGAAATACATCATCAGTTACATTAAGAAAGCAAATCTGTGTATTTGAGTGGTCGGGCACAACCCGACCACTCTTTGGATCTGTTACAACTGACATGTACAATTAATCTTCTTTCTTTCTTTCTTTCTTTCTTTTTTTCCGGACAATACGTTTCCGGGGGTTTTCTCCTAAACGGTATATGGTATGAACTTTCAATATATATCGACCCTCATCTGACGTGGTGCATATTACTCTGACGTCATGATTACGTCATCAGGTGTCAAATTACAAGTGATTTTATCTAAAAAAGTGACCAATTACTTTCACTTATAACTCTTGAACTAAACATTCAATGATGTTTGTATTCTGTAATCAGATAGACCATTAATCGCTAAACATTTTTTGTTGTGTACGTAAACTCGCTTGACCTTTACTTCCGGGTCTACCGGAAGGTCAAAGTTAGGTGAATTCAAAATGAAGACGTGTACCATATGAAGACGTGTACCATATTACGAAGATGTTGCAAATTTTGTTACGTCATCACGACGTCATCAGGTATCAAATTACAAGCGATTTAAGGGCAAATTTTGACAAAATAGTTTGCGTTGTATCTTTTGAACTAAATAGAGTATCATGTTCATTTTTCCGAGAGGTTGTAGACTATGCCGTGAAAAACATTTCGTGTTCCCGGACGCAAAACTTTGACCTTTACTTCCGGTGTTAAAAATTATCCTCTCCGAACTCTATCAGTATTCACTAACCGTTTTTGACTGATGACGTCATCAAACAAGAAATAACTTTTTGGTGCACATAGATTGTTTACTGAAATTTATCACACCGTTAAAGATATCTTTTTGAAATATTGATTGTACTTGAAGGGATTTAATTTTGTGATCCTTTTTTGTATATTCCTAACTTAACTGGGCAGTGTATAATGAAAAGGCTCTCCGCCCGACCACTCTGCGTTTGTAACTAAACAAACGCGAAACTCTAGTTAGGTGTTCGGCTTTAGCCCAAAACCTATTGTTTTTGCTAGGGTTTTTAGGTTTTTTTTTCTTCTATACACATTCCTTCTCCAGAACTGTGTGTCAAAATGAAAACATATATGAACTTCAATTGTCAATACATGAATGCACAACCTATACTGCAGATGTGCTTTTTTGCAAATTTTTTTACGTAATCATGACGTCATCACGGGTCACGTGACGTCACTTCAAAGTTTAATAAATTTAATCTTTCCATATAAAATCAACCGTGAGAGACCGGAGCCTGAATTTTGCGGGAATCGACGTGGTAATACATGATCTTCATTTTATCTTGTGCGCATAAAATCATGTGACCCTTCCTTCCGGTCGAAACCGGAAGTGCCTAATAATTTTAAAGTGGAAAGAGATATGAACTTGCTTTTAACGATTAAAGTGTCTGCCTGGATTGACCTTTCAAAAAAAATAATAGGTGACGCCATGAAGTGTTGGAGCGCCCTCTAGCGGCAGGTTAAAAAAACATTAGAAACGCATTTTCACTTGATGTCTGTGGCGAAGTTTGCGGTAATCGCTTCAAAATTAATTTACATGATGACCATAATGCAGACAACACCTGTGCGCGAAAAAAAATTGATTACGTCATCAGACCGGAAGTTACAATAAAAAGACCTTTAAACCTTAAAAATTGCTAGAAAATATACCGTGATAGATATAATCAAGATTTGGCTGTATATAGCACAGTTAAAATAGCTCTTGAACTTTCTGGTAATGATGTCATAATGACGTCATCAAGTATCGTATTACAAGCAATCAAAGATTTCTAGATTTAATCGTTGAAAATCAATATAAAATCAACTACTACAGATTTGAGTTTGTTTGTTATGGCAATCGATACAATATTGCAGGGACTTCATTTTTGGTATTAAGTGCAAAATCACGTGACCCTTCCTTCCGGTCGAAACCGGAAGTGTCTTATTATTTGAAATTGGCAGAAGATGCGAACTTGCTTTCAACGATGTGAGTGGCTGCCTAGGCAGTACTGTACAAAAATTGTACAGGTGACATCATAAAATGTTAGAGCGCCCTCTGGCGGCATGTTGAAAAAGTCAAACATGGATTTAAACATGCATATTTTGAGTTGATGTGTGTGGCAAAGCTTTCGGTAATCCATGGCCCAACACCGTGTGGTTGTTCCTACAACCTCTAGTGTATTTTTGTGTTTGTTGACTATTTTCCTATGCAAAAATTTGCAAATCCTTCTCCGGAACAGTTTGTCAAAATGAAAACATATATGAACTTTAATTGTCAATACATGAATGCACAACCCACTGAAGATGTGCTTTTTTGCAATTATGTCATTATGACGTCAGAACGGGTCACGTGACGTCACTTCAAAAAATAATCAATTTAATCGTTGAAATTCAATATAAAATCAACCGTCAGACCGCAACTTGAATTTTGCGGGAATCCACATGATTAGACATGACTTTCAATTTATCTTGTGCGTGCAAAATCACCTGACCCCTCCTTCCGGTCCAAACCGGAAGTGCCTAATAATTTTAAAAGGGAAAAAGATATGAACTTGCTTTTAACGATGTTAGTGTGTGGATGGTTGACATTTAAAAAAACGTGATCGGTGATGCCATGAACAGTTCGAGCGCCCTCTAGCGGCAGGTTAAAAAAATGTCCAAAACGAATTTTTAAGTGGATGTCTATGGCGAAATTTGTGGTAATCGCCCTAAAATGAATATACATGATGACCTTAATGCAGACAAGACCTGTATGCGCAAAACAAATTGACTACGTCATCAGACCGGAATTTAAAGGAAAAATACCTTTTTTCCTTTGAACCTTCCTGGAAAATCAACCCTGAGGAATTTAATCTCTTTTTGTTGGTTAAATGGCAGATTAGAAATAGGTCTAAAACTTCCTCATGTTTCGTGCCAATAAGTGACAATTTAGATGTCATGCAGCCCCCTTGAAATGTGAAGTTGACCACACCTACGTCTTGAAACGTTTGTTCCGGACAGAAAAATTTATGAATGAACGTTTGTTTACATTCATTGCAAGTGCCGATGGAGGGCGCTCTTTCAGTAACCAAGTAACGAACACGTAAGTGAAAAGCGACATGACGCGTGACGGCTGTTATTGATCGGAATCACTTCATTTTGGGAGAACTGTAGTAGTTTGAGGCCACAAACTGAACTGATAATTGACTCTACTATCAGCTGAGTAAGATCACTTTGATTGGTTGTGTTTGGAAAAATGGAAACATATAAGAACTTCATTTGTCAATACATGAATGCACAACCCACTGAAGATGTTCTTTTTTGCAATAACGTCAACATGACGTCATCATGGGTCACATGACGTCACTTCAAAAAATAATAAATTTAATCTTTGAAATTCAATATAAAATCAACCCTGAGAGACCGGAACTTGAATTTTGCGGGAATCGACATGAATCTTGTGCGCGTAAAATCGCGTGACCCTTCGGTCGAAACCGGAAGTGCCTAATAATTTGAAAGTGGAAAAAGATATGAACTTGCTTTCAACAATATTGGGGTCTGACTGGATTGACCTTTCCAAAAAAGTAATGGGTGACGCCATGAAGAGTTGGAACGCCCTCTAGCGGCAGGTTAAAAAACATCAAAAACGCATTTTCACTTGATGTCTGTGGCGAAGTTTGCGGTATTCACTTCAAAATTAATGTTCATGATGACTTTAATGCAGACAACACCTGTACGCGAAAAAAAAGATTAGGCCATCAGACTGGAAGTTACAATAAAAAGACCTTTAAACCTATTTGCTAGTTTCACACACCATTTTG